CAAGGCCTGAAATGTAGACAGCAAGGTGTGCTTTAAATATGGAAGCACTCGACTACAGGCACCATGCCAAGTGGCAGTTTCATTAAGTCTGTTGGCCTTTTGCAGACTTGTAATTATTGTCATGTTGCTACCGGTATGTTGATTTCAATGCAGATTTGATGTATTGAACAATTGTAGCAAAATAAACTAATGTTTGTTGATATCTTGGAGTTAAAGAGGCTGTTAATTCAAATCTGATGAAGGTACCTTGGAACACCAGGGAAATTGTTATTTTTATTGGACAAACCTCCATGTTAACAAGTGACAGTTTAGGCAGAAATATGTTAATGATCCAATATTTCAAGAGTAAAATTGGGTCGTGTTCACAACCAGTTGATCCGTGGACTAACTAGTCCCCAGATTAAATATGGCATGACCCACTTAAAATCTTCCTGAGATTTAATTGCTCTGCTCCTGCTCGGACAATGCACGTGAGAGGCAGAAATCTGTTGTCAAGTGCACACCATATTTGATCCACAGACATGTTAGTTTCAACTTGTTGTGAACGTAGCCTTGGTTATGTATAGCCAGTTAGGGCTGTGCACACCACATTGTTATTTTGATGTGTAATTACAGATCAAAATAATAACAGATAAATCAGGCATTTAATGTAAACTGCTATTGACCAGTGTCATATAGAATTTAATGTTACTAGTATTTCCAGCAAGACACACAAAAACTTCAAAAAAGCTCCTTCATTTGTGTTTTAACTGACACCACTTATACCCTAGCAACAAGTAGTTAACCCTTTTCTCCTATATTAACTCCCAAAATAGCTGACAGTTGACTGCTGTATGGGAAGGACTAGAGTACCACAACATTTCAACATTTCAGAGATAAACTAAGAACTAACCACATTTCAGGTGTGCATGTTGAATGTTTATGGGTGAACAGTTGTAGTTTGAAATTTGTGAATTTGTATTTTGGTAAATAAATGCACGATATCTGTTATGTGTTTTCAGGCGAAGGAAGCAGGCCTGGTGAACACAGTGTGCACATTCTATGAGTTGACTGATGGGGATGACACGGCTGGGCAAGGTAAACTAAATCCAATGACTGATTGTTTGATTTTTAAGTGTTTTTCTTTTCATTACCCCCCATATTTTACCTACAATGTCTACAGAGTTTGGTGATCCCCATTGGTCATCCTGAGCATTTGAAGTGGTCACTGATGTCCCATATGGTTGCTTACATAACTGACAGAAAATTAGAATTGGATTTTTCATTGAAATTAACACGCGGGGAAGTTCAAATTAGCTTTGCTCCTCTGTGTGTGTGTGTGTGTGTGTGTGTGTGTGTGTGTGTGTGTGTGTGTGTGTGTGTGTGTTTTATTAACTACCAAAATGGCTGTGCACTTTAGATCATTTCTTAAATTTATAAGCAGTAAAATTAATCAGTGGTGTCTGGTTAACAGGAAATAAAAGATCGTTATCTCGATATGTTTGTAAACAAAGAGCCATTTATTAACCACGTGCCTGGAGGTGAATGGTATTTACATGTGATCATCCGAGCGTGGTTCTTGGAAAATGTTAGGGAAGACATTTTACTTTACTTTTACTTTACATTGGGATGGAGGTGTGGCAAGAATTTAGACATTTTACCACAATAGTCGTGTGCTAGTATTTCATATTTTTAAAAGTTTAAGAAACAAATACAAGTTGAATGCACATAAAGCCAGTTGTGCTGAACATAAAGTTGATCTTTTCAGAATTCCATGGACTGGAGCCCGACCTTCTGGTGAAAGCACTCAAGGTTTTAGAATCACAAGGAAAGGCAGAAATTATTGAGATGGACGAGAGCCGAGGAGTGAAGTTCTTTTAATGTACGTGCCAAAACTGCGACACGAAGACATTCTCGAATAAGAAAGTTCGCTGTATCTATTATGCAATGGCAGTAATAATACCTGGTGAACAGGATGTAAATGACCTGCGCCAGGGTGGCAGGAAAAAGCGTGCTCAAGGAGGAAGGGTGCATAAAGCACCCGTTTAATGATTTAAGTAGCACGAAAAGAAATTATGAAACTGCAGCTTCCTTATTTTCATGCACATTGAGATAGGCACGTGGCACGTGTACTCTTTACTCGCGACACGGCCATATGTGAATGCTGCTGTGCTGTATGTGCCACTGATTATGAAAACGTATTTTCAATACAAATTGAGTGGACACTTGCTTTTACCTTTACAACACATGTCGTGGTTTCTCACGAGCTTACCGGTATTACATGATAACTAACGAATATAATCAAAGTAAGGAAAAGCAGTGTTAATGTCACCGATTAAATAAACGTGCAGAATTTTTGAATAATTTTTAGTATAAAACACGAAGCTTAAGTTGTTCAGGAAAATATTGTATCTGGTCATTACAAAGGTGCAACAAGAAAAGTGCACACGAACGCGCTTGTAATATTTTTATGCAGAATAAATCAAGTAAAATTGACGTTGTTTTTAGCAGTGAAGTCTTTTTTTTTTAATATGACTTTCAAGAGCTTTAAGAGAAGAGACAAAACTGGTTTGCGAAAATTCAAATGTGGAAATAGTGTTAATGATAGGTTCTAAAGATAAACGTAACGTTAAGGGATTTAACGAGTTTAAGTTGTCAGTGATGCCATTAGTCACAAAAATGGCTCATTTTAATACCAAAGTTGTAGCGTGAAAGTCTTCACATACTGTCTTCAGAGAATGTCAAAACAAATAAAAAACTAAAACATTCTGAAAAGGGCCCGTTTTTAGAGACGAGCATTTTAAAGTTTCAGTTTCTTACAGGTTCAGTGTTAGGTTATGGTCGTACATGTCGTGTTGTACGAAATCTCTGCCTACGTGAATTGGCACCTAACATATAACAGATATTTTGTTCTTCGTGCTATATCACCCCCACCCCACCCCCACCCCCACCCCCTTAGTGGCATAATCTCTCCTTTCTAATTTTTCCATATGTATCCTCTTTCGTAATCTACGACGACCACTGAAGCAGGTGTGTTCGCGGCGATCTCTTGGGATGCGCTCAACGTATACGTGCTTGCTGCAGCAGACGTTGTCTCCGCCCAGGGGTTAGATTTGGACTAAATCTATATTTGTCTTGCTGGTATTTATCCACAAATCGTTAACCCCAAGTTAACGGTCCCGTATCCAAAACTGTGTGCACTTAAACAATAAGTACCCTGTCGGTGCTCCAGCAGTAATGTGTTCCCGGCATGCATCCCAAGCTTGGTCGTAATCACTCACTGTGGCCACGCAGGCAAGTCATGCGAGATGGAGAAAAAGATGCATTTTAATTTCATGGCACGCAAAAAGATAATGTTCTTACGGGAGGGCAGGTGAAAACCTCATTTAAAGAAATGCAAGCTAGGCATTCGGTCGTGTGCAATACTAGTTGCTAAGCAATTGATTCATGCCGTAGGTGCTACAATAGAGCGCTAATACCTGCGGTTGACTAGCATAGAGCGCCAGTTACTGAGTGGTGCAGTATCAACCATCTAGTCGGACTGATCCTTAAATTCTGAAGATAGTCCCACACAGTTTCTCGTACAACAGGTGTTCTTTTTTCTTTTCCCTCTCCCTACGTGATAAGTGCGGAGTCCGCTGTGTCGCTACGTCATGCCGGAGTGACTCGGGGGAAACAGTGGTACCGAAAACAGAACTTCAAAACTGTGTCCTTGATTCAGTTGTCGTCTTAGCAAAAACATGGATGCTACAGTGTGGATTTTGCCTCTTACTTTGTTTCTGGGAACGATTGCAGGATACTCAGGTAAGAGCTGTTCATTTTCGAGAAGTCAGTGGTCTCTAAGCGTGTTATGACTTCAAAGTAGTAGTAAAATAGAAAAAAAATGGAATTATCCATTTACATAAGCTGAAACCATATGAGCTATACTTAGGACGAGCTCCTTTTGTTCAAAGTTGGATGTACTCCGTTTACCCGCAGCCGATTCTGGCGTGTCTTCCGCAAGTTGCGCGTTATTATTTAGAATGCATTCTATCTTAACGATTTCTCCCTAAAGCAATATTTAGAAATATTATCATTTCAGCTTGGGGGCAATGGAGTTTCCAAGTTGTGTTTTTAAAAATTGTCAACGCTTCTAGATGTCTCGTAACTGTCAACGCTTATTTTAGTGAACTTTATAGCACTCGGCTCTGCATTTTGTAAGTGAAGAACTGTTGGTTACAACAAATCACTCTATATGGTAAAATATATACAGGTGCAGAAGAAACGCGCCGAAGATCGTAAACATGCATGTCATTTTTACATAGCTATTTCTGCCCTACTCTTCAATATTTGCTGGACAAAGCTCGTCTCATTTACAGGTTTAAAACCATAATGAGTCTTTGATGTTAAACACGTTACCTGCCGCCTTATAATATAGCTCAACATTTTTACTGTTTATCTGCCATATCTGCACGGTCTCTGTTATGGTGATGTATATCTACTCCAGCCGGGCTAGTAGCGAATATGCTGTTACAGTGTTGGCGGATACCTTCCTAAAATAACATTAAGATTTTCGAAATTAATCTCATTAAGTTAAAAATTTATAGCCAAGGTGGAGAACTGAAATGGATAAAATGATATTTCGATTCTGGAAATTTTCCAATTCAGTTAAACGACAATGTTAACAAGATAATAAGGTGTATATATCAATTTGTTTTCAACCCCGATCCTTATTGTTTTAACTCACAACTATAATTAAACTGCACTATAAAACATAAGGAAGTAGTATAAAGTGTTGATGGCATAAAAGGACCACTTTCGGGTATTTTCCTGATACTTAGTATGTACCCATTTGGCACGCGAAGAAAAGATAAAAACATTAGGATCGATAATAGCTTTTCTCAAAGGAGGTGACAAGCCAATCTCTGGATGTTATCATATGATCTTTAATAATATTAAATATCAAATCACTTTGGCGCAGAATGCAAATGTGAAAGACACTTGAACAGGTTACTTTAGTGGTGCGAAGTAACGACACCTAATTGTGTTGAACCAAACTATTATTTAAGCACATATATTTTTACATACGAGGTTCTCCTTACGCACCTCTACGTGAACGCTTACCTAAACAAACACGTCTATTAAACCAAGTGAGGAACGTTTTAATGGCTTCTTTACCACGAACCTTCCTTTTTCCATAACTTTCACATGAGTAACTCATTAATGGATAAGAGTATTGTCAGACATCTTTCTATAAAGTCTATTGTCAAGTTTTGTAGGTACGTGGTGACAAAATGATAATAGTTAAAATAAAATAATCATATGATAACGCCAAAGAATAGAATATGTTTACTTAGTTTCTCGTGAGGAAGTATTTCCTTAAACGCAGTTTGGTATGAAATAAACAACACACGTGATAGTTTGAACCATTAATTCGACATTCCATCCACATTTCTATTCATCATTCGGTGTAAACTCGTCATGCTCGGACTGCCAAGCGTATCGAAGCCAACTCTGGTTTTATAAAAAAAAAAACCCGACTTATGCGACAGATTATGATTAACAGGCTGAAAAGTGTGTCGTAACTAACAAATAGGTGCCAATTTACCTGACGTATCTATCTAAATATATTAACTTGGCGATGGCATCGCTTAACCTTATTCAAAAAGGGGGGAAATTATTGATAAAACGACTAAACCGGGGTGGGTCAAGAAATAAAAAAAGGGATGAGTTGTTTGTACTTGGTAAGTACCCAGAATGCAACCCACCCTAAAATCTCTCTCTCTCTCTCCCTCTCTCTCTCTCTCTCTAATTGCGCTTTTATTCCATGTTGAAATCCATTATTTACATCAGTAATATTAGCATAGGGCATTCTTTCCATGTGCTATGCACTTGTAGCAGAGCAGCAACTGGGAAGCATGGAGAAGGTTGTCACGGATGTCATTACGCTCACTTTTTCACTCTCCACACCAAATCACCATTAAATGAGAATAAACATGTTAGAGACGATATCTCCAAACATTTCAAGTAGCAGTCGGTGACACTCCTATTTTGGCCCTTAAGGATGGAAGCCTTAACCTGCTCTTTATATAAAGGGTTGTGAAAAGGTCACGCTGTAATTAGCTGGTCGCATTAAATCTTATGCTACTGAATTCAATGATATGAATTTTAGGTTGAAATTAATAATAAAACAAAGCAAGAAGTTGGAAGCTTTATTAATGGTCGAAATATTTGTGTGCAACAGAAAATATTATTTATTTATTATATTAGGAAATTATTTAGTTATTTATGCTTGTTTGATTGCATGAAGACTTGATTCTTTGATTTGGTTATCAAAACCGAAATTATGCAGTGGATTATTTTTAATTTGGCTTTAATCCAAGCCCATTATAATCACGCAATATCAAAAGCACTCAAGTAAATCAAAAGGAAGTTACTGTAAAGTTATGTAAATTTCAACACGAACAAATGAAGGCAGGTTTCGAGTGGGTTTTCTTTCTGAAAAAAAATGTTGGAAGTTTTTTTAACCGCCCTGTAAGGTGAACACTTTTGGAAGAAACTTTTGAGTGAGTAACACATGGTATTTGATAGTATTTTGCGACACTTTTCGGCGACCACAGTGCTTGTCGCAGTGAGTTACCGGGACAGTCAAATAGCTCTGCGACAGCGTGTCTGTCTGCGCTTGCTTTAAATACTTAATTATCAAAATGAATTTTCTTATTGTACCTCAATCATTTTGAATATCTTACATAGGAAAAGTATGCATTTCCTTTTCTGAGAAAACGACCGCAAAAGGAAACCATCTCACTATCAAATGTGTACATCTTCTATTAAAGAAAACATCACATAAAAAGCAAGTTCAAATCATATCTTGACGGTATTTTAAAGGCAGTTAACTCAGATGCTCTTCTGTATTGTCTTGCAGTATTTTAAATCTGTTTGTAGAGATTTTAGGGTAGAGTCCACTATCATAGTGCACCGTAGTTCTACATATGTATGTATTTGCTGAACTTTTTAAATCGTAAATCACATCTATTCATGTTATCAGTATATGCTACGACTTAAAATGCAAAAATATTTCAATGTGTTTTTATTGAGGGGGAGGGGTCTTACAGCCAAATGCCTTCAAATTGAAAAGACAATTCTTCTGACCCCTTAACACGTACCCAGATTCTTAACGAACACCTGGCGTCCCAAAGTTCATCAAAAGTGAGACACTGGCACGCGCTATTTTCAGAGATTTATTCATAAAGATAACAGTACATAGGGTGAAATTGCCCCATGATGGCATGGTGAGATTACGATGAAGAGGGCTCATATGCATAGTTGTATGTCTCATGTGCCACAAAGTACTAACTTCTTAAATATATATTGTACTATGTCGGGGAAACATACCCGTAGCTGTTGTGACGGCACGGTTAACGTGATCGTCAGATAGTGAGAGGCACTAAAACAACAGCTTCTTCATTCAAAGTTGATTTCTTAAATGACAACGTAATGAATACAGGTTGTCCCCGATCTCACTTGTCAACGCTCTCTACCCGCAATTAACAACCTTAACGTACGGCTGCATTCAGAGGATATAAATGAGCAATGGCGTGTATGGTGTGCCGTAGATCTCCCATCGTTATTTATATTTATATGCGAATTTAAAGAAATGAAGTTTTAACGTTTTTTTTTACTTTTTGATCAAAATGATATGCAAGATAACTACAAAGAAAACCTTAAGGCGTTAAATGAAGCGTTTGACCAGCAAGAGCATTGTCTTGCCGTCAGCAGCGCAAATATCTTGTACAATTTTTATGGACTTATTGTTGGACGACAACAATTTTCGAATAAAAGTCAAAACTATCACCATGTCTAATAGCCATTCTGCACATTCTTAAAACCGTTATATTTGTCACATGTTCAGCAGGTAAAAGGTGGGCCTGTGCTCTAGTCCATGGAGTGTAAGGACATTGTTTGTGATGTGAAATCAGAAACAAACATGAGCTTTGGGTACAAAGTTATATTGATTCGTAGGCTAACATCTTGTTTTGTGGCTACCAGTATGTTTAAACCTGTGTTAACAAAGATTAGAAAACGGAAAAATGGCAAAAGGCGGCCTTTGAAAAGACAATCTAGGTTGATCCTTGCTTACAGCATTTATTACTGGCGGTGGTGTTGTTGCAAAATAAGTCCCCGAATTTCTGTCAGAAATGACATGGTACTGACACTGCTGCCATCTGGAGCCCAGGTCATAGTAACATTGCCACACGTGGTGGCTAGTACACGCGATATGGGTCACATGGTAATAATAAAACTTATGACATTTTTGTAAGCAACTACTGTATGATAGAGCATATGGAATGCACATATAATTGACCATGTCACTGGGATTATTTTGTTCTCAAATTTTTCGTTTCCAGATAAATACTCCAGGGACAATTTCCTTCTATTCTCCGATCATTCCAACATTTACCAAATTTCCCTCAGTGCTCCCTCCCAGGTCCCCCAGCTGCTGCTGTCTGCAGATAAAACTAGGTGAGTGATGGCTGGGATATTATCAATATATTACAAATGCCACCTATCATCACTGCAAATAAAAAGACATTGGCATTATTAATATTCAGAAAAAAATAACATACCTGTAAGGAAACTTGCTATGCCATTTGAAATGAACTAGGTTTATGAATGAAAGTGCACAAAATAAAGCAGGACTTCAGAAGGATGTTATTTAAAAAGGATAAACATTTTATTGGCCTATCCTCTGATGGGCGCTTTGCGATACATACTAAAAAGGTGTGATTTTTCTTAAATAAACATTATTTAACAGTTATGGCTATTTTGAAACTGCAAACAAACTCTCTCTAATGTTATTTATAATAATACAACACCTGCACTTTTAAACACTCAAAAATTATTCTTATTACTGGTACTTGGATATTACCATTCCTACTCCATCCCTGCACTCGACTGGAAAACCAGGCGGTATCCTGGTTCTCTGGGTGCTGCCTGGGTATTCTATTTCATCATATTTCGTTCAGTTTAATATTATGTTTTCCTTGTTGGTGGAAGGGGGGAGAAAAGGGCTGCAGCTAGCAACAAAATGTAACGATCATCGTAAGACAAAGGGGAATGACTGTAGAGTAATATTTGATTGATTTTATTTTGATTAGATATCCGTCCGCCATAGACTACGATCCCATAGAAGAAACAGTTTATTGGATAGATTCAGTCTCACATGTCATATGGAAGTCCTTTATCAACGGGACAGTTGAGACGAAAGTTGCCGATTTGGATGAGAGTAAGTTGAAAATGTCTTATCTTCTAGACATTTTTTTTTATTTATGGAAAATTGGCCTAGATTCCATGAAACTAGTGGCCTTAATGCTCTAAGAGCATTATGTGATGTCTGATAAAAACAAACATCAATATGTCCTCCATATAGATTATTTTATGAATTCGTTAGTGAAGTAGCTTGACAAACACAAAACACAATATATAATATCGGTTAATTGATATTTTGGCCAGCAAAGGCGGGTTTTATTTATGCCAAACCGAAATGAGAATTAATACGAAATTTACTTTAACTAATTGGCCATACATTGAAGATAAAAAAAGTAAATTTGCAATCTATTGCCAAAAGTACTGAAATATGATGGGCTCACACTATAATGATAATAAGATAGGAATGAAAGAATTTTGTTGGGTTCAAGAAATGTCAAAACTGCCGATAAAGATACAAAAAGACAAAATTAAATAAATTCCGTGCATGAGAGTCGAAAATTTAAATAATGAGTATTAATGCCAAAACATGTGTCAAAATGAGTGTGGAAAAAACTGCCCTAAAAAGTAGAAAATATAGAAGAGGTCAGATATTTGTGACTGATTGTAAACTTTTTGCCATGTAATCATGGAGGATTGTTGGATGTCGGAGTTCCTTCGGCAGGGTGCCTGATCCTAAAATGAAATACTTGTTCAGGATAAACCAACTTCCAATTAGCATTTGCTGGGCAGCAAGTTAACGTGCTATATATTGATTAAACTGTCACCAGTCGATATTTTGCACGTGGTTTTGAAACAGTTATATCTTCACAGAAAAATGGCCTACGCTAATTTAGTTTTAATACGCACGTATCTGTACATGTAATGAAGAGATGCGTTTTGACAAATCCCGTTGAAATGCAGAAGGCTAACTAACGCGGCGCTTTCTTTAAAAGACACAATTCTCTTTCAGCCTCTGTTCCCATGGGCATAGCCGTAGATTATGTATCTAAACTTATATACTACACGGACGCAGGAGAGCCGTCTATTAATGTGATAAGAATGAATGATTCCTTGAGACTTGTCATTGTTGACCAAGGAGTAAAGCGACCGACATCAATTATTATTGATCCGTTTGATTTGTAAGTATCTCCACTTATTCTGATATCTCTATTTTTTTTTTTTTTTTTTTTTTTTTTTTTTTTTTTTTTTTGTGAATTGTATGTTTTTAAAATGTTACACATGTGCACAAGTGGAAACTGGACCACAGATTTCCCTATACAATGTGATGGATTCAGAAATTAGGGGTACTTTTTCTAACTGTTAGATAGACTTGTGATCTCAGTATGATATATGGTTATGAAAGATATATGAGTTTCAAGATCTTTATTCGCAGAAATTTATACTGGATAGATGAAGGTCTGAGGCAAGTCATGCGCTCAGATATGAGCGGAGCCAAAATTGAAGCCGTTGTCTCCCAAAACGTAGCGGAACCAAGAGGGTTAGCCTTGGATCTGAAAGGTGATTAAAAATATGTTTAAAAATATTATTATCACTAATCAGTGATGTCTTATCTGATTATATGTTATGAGCTGAAATGTTATTTTAAAATACCTTTTACTACCAACAATACGTGGTCTTTCCAGAGCCAAACTTTACCAGAAAATGTCATTATCTATAAATGTATGGATTACGATTATATGACTTAAGATATATATACATTTTTCTTTTTACAGGCCGACGACTGTATTGGTCGGACGCAGGCAGCAATACTATTAACGCGCTCAACCTTAAAGACAACAATGTACAAATGATATACAATGAAACAAATCGCAACCCAGGTTACCAGGACATTGCCCTGAAAGGCAACAGTACACTGTATTACACAGCTTCAGTTGAAAGGTAAAATCACATCTTAACTGCAACGTTCAATTTAAAAAAAAAGTTCAAGTAGAACTTGTATTAATGTCCCCAAAATTGTCAGGAATGACATGGTCTTGACACTGCTGCCATCTGGAGGCCGGGCCATAGTAAGATTGCCACACGTGGTGGCCAGTGCACGCTAGGAGGTGATCATTCGCCCCATTGGTACTCGAAATATTATAATATCTTCTGATATCTTGTGTATGCAACTGTGTCAGAATAAAAGTAGATACCTGTTCATGATTTCGAAATTATTAGGCATTCTTGTCTGTTTTATATAAGTTGTGCTGTGTTCCTTAAAAAATAGCAAATTTTTTATACCTTGCTACCTTGTTAAGATACAGACGTGAAGAGGCCTCTGTAAAAAAAGTATCGAAAGATGATAATTTCGATAATTTAGAAATATGCGCAAAGATATCATATGTTATAATCATATGTTATAATTCTAGCCATCACAAAAATATACATCTTTATATAAATAATATGTGTATATTTGTTGCAGGTCTCCTGTGCAGATTTCCTTCCCAGGCAGCATAAGAGATAAAGTTGGTTCACAAACATTCAGCAACCTTCGCGGCATAGTGGCCTATGAGTCGTCCTCAAATTGGCTACAGATTTATGGCAACAGAGGTAATAAATAGCAAATTTAAATGTATAAAATAGATGCTGAAATCACCTCAAGTGTATGGTATGTTGAAATGTGTGATGCCAACGTTTTCGTGCTGACAGAATTAGATTTTCAAAATCTAATGCCTCTTTACCTTTGGGCATTAACTACTAAAACTTTTTTAAAAAGAATAAATATTTTGAGATTGATTAAAGACACCACTTCTTTGATTTGTTTAACTGATTTCAACAATTGATTAAAATGATTCCCAGGAACTGCTAGATGTTCTGTCAACAATGGCGGATGTGAAGATCTGTGTTTTCCGGTAAAGAACCAAGAGGGCAGAGTGTGCAACTGTACAGGTAGTAAACGATTACTGGCAGATGGAAAATCATGCTCTGATGGTAAGTGGTGACCCAAGCTATGGGTTGTCATTATCAAAGAAGTTTTTTTTATTTATGTTTGCATTAAACTGTATAATCAAGAAGTATAATTATCTCAACAACGAATTTTTCTATTTAAATTTTTTCAGTTTTTCCTTAAAAGATGTTCATGAATCCATGGTTAAATCTTTGTATAATGACAGTAACTATATACCAATAATGGATATTTATGAAAACTTGCAGATGTCGATTTATTACATATAGTTGAAAGTATAATTATATTTCAAAATATTTACCTTACATCCAATTACAAAGCGTTTTCAAATATATCTTAAAACAAAAACTTCACTCCGTTGTTTTTTTTTTACCGTTTCAGTGACTGCTTTACATGGTTCCAACATTCTGTTCTTACAAAACCTGGACAGCCTAGCCATAGCCTACATTGGTGGTATACCGGGGGAGCCAATTGCCTGGGTGAGGAGTGATGATCGACCGCTGTCCTTCTGGAGGATCAGGTCCCGGGGAAGAAGACTCACAGCCATTGACTTTGATTATGCCCGGGAAAGTGTCTACGTTGCAGACACCGAGACGAAAACAATTCGAGGTTTGGCACTAAACGGAAGCGCCATTCAGACTTACACGATATACTCTGGTGCGTATGTTTCGACTGGATTGTTTAAAGTATTCAGTAATTAAAATTCTTGTTGTTTCTATAAAATTTATTTTTGATAGTGTTTGAACCTTTACATTTTATCTTCGGTCTTGAAGCCATCCATGTAAATTTGTCTGGCGTATTGTTGTTTAGTTTTTTCAACTCGGTGATCTACATATTTAATGTTAACATGTTGAAATGATATGTTTTTACAAGGCATTTCAACAAACGCTGGTGGTGTCGCTGTGGATTGGATAAATAAAAATATCTACTGGACAGACGCCGAGTACCATGTTGTTATGATGGCTAAGTGCGAGCGGTCATCTAAATATGTCCGGACGATAGCCACGGAAGGTTTGGACAAACCCCACTCCATTGCCGTGCACCCAGCAAGAGGGTAAGTTGAACTGATTAAAGGCTATTTCAGTATGTTTAGTGAAATTTTATGATACAAAAAATAAAAGATATTTAAAATGAGAAGCAATCAGCATACGTCTGTGGCCATTAACATCTAAACTGACAATCTGAATATCCTGACAATTTAACCACGTCCTATCTCTAGAGGTGTCTGAACGACAATATAAATATCTAGAAGGTGGAATCACGTGTTATCTAAGTGGCTGAACTGACAATCTGGAAATCAAGAAGATCGAACCACGTGTTATCTAGGTATCTGAATTGACTATCTGGATATCGTAATCTTAGATGTAGGATGAATAATAAATGCACCATCTTCACGGTAGACACTTGGTCATGTGTCATATCTACATGTTCTCTTGTAAGGTCCGGGCTAGACACTTGGTCATGGTGTTTTTATTTTTCTTCATACCCCTAAGATTATCTTTAAAACACATATGGCAATATAATAACAGAAATTAAGTGATTTTCGTCCGAAAACGAAACCATATAATCTGCTATCCGGCGTTTGTACGCCTAAGAAGCGATTATCCTCTTATCAGTGAAAACCGTTTCGTCGTTTTAGCTACGTATTCTGGATTGATTATGGAGAATTCAACAAATTGGAAAGGTCCGAACTGGATGGCAAGAACAGAATGATAATAGCTCAAGGATTTGTTGGAACACCAAAGGCTTTGACTGTGGATTTCCAAAACGACAAGTACGTATTAAAGATAGTTCTTGAGATTTAATATATTAGCTACAGGTGTACAAAGCTGTCACGTGTCCGGACAGATTGCATTGGATATGCACCTTATTCTATTCTTAATTAATCAATCTTAAGTACATAATATCTCAACATAGGAGGGAGAAAATCTTATTATTACTATATCTTATATCTTATTTGTTAATGTGCAGTTATATGAAGGCTTTGGCCAGCATTAAGAGATCGTCATAAATTTGCCATTATAATTTCTATAGAACAAAACATGATTTGTCGTGTGTCAACTGAATTTACCTCATTAAAACCAGGGTTTACTGGGCGGACATCTTGTCCTCGGGGACCTTGACCTCCAGTGTCATCTACCACAGTGATCTGGACGGCAAGAACAAGGTGGAATTCAAAACAAGCACCTACTCCTCCATCCAGTCAATGGTGTTTTTCAAGGTAAGAAGAACACAAGGGGATGGAAGATTTGCATTGTTTCCATTGAAAAGGCAATTTTTCTAAATGGACTAGTTAGGTTTGGAATTGATACCAGAAGGTACCATGGTAAGGTACCACAAACTTTAGATGCGATGTGTGCCAGCTTATTTTTCAAATTTTCACAAGTGCACGCGACAAGAAATTTGAAATTAAAGTAGTCAGCCTGCGTCTGCTCTGTAACTTGATGGGCACATTTGTCAAATAATGCACGTGGGTAGACAACAGATGAGTGGCGTACATTAGTTTAGTATTTGGGCCACGAAATCATAACGTGACATATGGCTTGTTATGCCTTTCATTGAAGTAGTTCATTTTTCACAAAAGCATGTCAGTTTTCTGCGATAATCAATTAATTATTGATGAATTGATCTTGTTTATTTCAAAATCACAAGTCACTTGTATTCTTCAGGGAATGTTGTTTACCAGTGACCACGACAAGCTGCCTCTAATGGGTGTTTATAACGCGACAGACGCCGAATCGATGGTCATCCGGATTGGAGGGGCAGGACCGGTCACTGGGGTCACGGTGTATCACAAAGACAGACAGGCCATGCCCAATGTACCAAGTAAGGGGTTATTTTTGTTACACATGTATTGAGATCTTCTTAGGATCATACTACAGAGAGAGAGTTATTCCAGCATTAATATGGATGCCACATTTTATTAAGAGACTTGTGTTCTACACATTTTTGCAAAACGACACTTTTGTCGTACCGTATGTGCTGTTTTTATCTGTTATATTTTTTGGCGTGTAGAGTTTCGCCCTTTTAGAACATAATAATCGACAGAAATAAGTATTAAAATTTTTGTGGGTTGGGTTATAGCTTGGTGCTCTGTTTTTGAGTAATATCTAATTGGAAGACCTCACTTGAATTATTAGATTCTTTATTTGAATATGTGTGTGTGTGTGTGTGTGTGTGTGTGTGTGTGTGTGTGTGAGTGTTTTTAACACGCGGGCATGTAAAGAAGCAGACGTGACGGCACACAGTATTGGTGCAAATTACAACAACAAAAACAACAACAACAACAACAACAACAACAACAATAATAATAATATGTCTCATATTTCTCCCATAGATCCATGTTTATCTAAAAACTGTGATCAGCTGTGTGTGGTGACGCCGAAGAACCTTGCTCGTTGCACGTGTAGCAATGGTTACACCTTCGACACCGACAGCAGTAAATGCGTAGGTAAGGTCCGGCAATTCCGATCTGTAGCTTGTCAACTCATAATTTATTATCCGTGTGACATTAACGGAATATTTAATTTTGACCTATAAAATTTCGTGCGTAACTGAGAGTAGATGTTTTTTCCCGAAAGAATTCTTAAAAGCATATCTTATTTTACTGTGTAAAAAATACATCTTTAGATTCCACTGTATTAAGTTTGACGTAGTTTTCTTTGTAGCATTTTAATATAAGAAAAGGAAAATAAGAAATTTAGTTTTCTTCTTTTTTATATTGTATGTAGTTTTTCGTGTGTACCAAAAATCCTTTGGTTTGAATATAGTGCATTCACATCATCATATCTACATGTACATGTACAACCAAAACCCTTTCAGAGCCACAGCGTGTTTATGGAATTTAATATGTTTCGTATTTGTGTTTACCTCTCTCTCACTCTCTTTCCAGGATCTGAAATCAAATCTGGTTTTATGTATTCGCTGGGAGACCGGTTGTGCCAGCCACATTTTAATGTGACCTCGTCCACAGTGAACACCCCATACGACTACTGCTTCCTGAAACAGTCCGTGCCAGGCGACGTGGACGTCACGGAGATCTACAGGATTGCCGTCAATAAATACTCCCAGGAGGTATTCTATTACAGTTCCAAGAAGAGGTTGATGCGCACCATGCTTACTAACACCTCTGACGTCACGTCATTGATTTATGGTATCGACAGTTTAGGAGGTAACTGATATATACAGGTGTTGCCTAAAGCAACAATTTAAAGTATTATTTATTTATTTATTTATTTATTTATTTTATTTATTTATTTATCTATTTTTGCTTTCAGTTTTATAGATGCTAACATTTATTTTAAGGTATTGTTGTTGTATAAAAATTTAGAACAATATTGTACATTGTCATTAGCACATTCCATTGTATAAGCTACATAACGAATGAAAAAATTTTCAATATATTTTTCAATGTATTATGCATGCCAACGCACCCCTTTTTTTATCATACATTCGATTCGATTTGATTTAATACGGGTTGCTTTATCTTTTGACAGGGTTGGCCCTGGATTGGCTCTCTGATAACTTGTATTGGACAGAGGTCACCAATGGTCAAATATGGGCAGCAAAGACAGATGGGACACTTCAAAAAATTCTCCTAAAGAATCTCTCTAGTCCGAGAGATATAATTGTTCATCCCCTCAGAGGGTAAGCTGTTTATTTTTTAATGTGATCGTAATTGTTCAGCATATGTTCATACAGTGAATAGCCTACATTGGCGTCGAGTAGTTGGATAACAAACTCAAAATTTGTGATGTATTTCAGTTCAAGTCACATTTTGTTATACTTGTGCAATTCTATATCTTTGAAACAACAAGAGTTTAAATAAATATCAAATCATAAAAACTCATTACACTTCATAGTTATGCCATATGATTGCCTTTTTATTCTTATTTTTCAGATCAATGTATTGGATTTCCAAGAACAAAATCCAGACTGCAGATTTAGACGGTCAAAATAAAAGAAATTTGATGAACATTTCTATATCCCCAACCTGTCTTACTTTTGACTATATTGAAGAAAGGTAATAATGGCAAATGTCTTCAATCACTTATATACACTTACTCCATAAAGACAAATGAACAGCAGCAGCGATCAGTCCCAATTGTGTCTACATTAAATAATACATGAAGCCGTCAACTAAAAATTATAGTAAATACGTAAAAATGCACGTTATTTTGATAATTGTTTTATAATATATATTTTTATCAATTCAGACTTTACTGGTTTGATAGTAAAGACAAGGATATCCGGTCTGTCGGCATATTAGGAGAAGATCAACGTATAATCACATTACCAAAGAACTTCAACAATATCACTTCTATTGCTGTCTATAAGGTAGAGTTTTAAGCACATTTTTTTTCTTGATATCAGAACATAGTTCAGTGAAATTGGACGATGGTAAATATGATTAAACATTTGCCAGTAAAATGCAATATTCAAGAAAAGTCATCTTTTGAAAATGGATGTTATTTTAATCTTATCTGAACACATATTCCAGCAAGGTTTCAGATTTATTCAAACAGAATAAGCTTATATTTCAATTAGTCTTAAATGCCTTATTACAAATGTATGTTTATGACACCGATTACAAAAACTTTCTAGGGAATACTGGCGTACACCGACATTACGAATCAGACGGGTTTGCACTTGCTGAACATCTCCAATTCAAACAGCCCCATAGCACAAAACGTCACAACCCTCTTACACAGAGATCATACTGACGCTTACGATGTAATTGTTGTAGACCGCAGCTATCAGCAGTTGACACAAGGTACGAATGGTGATTTTGACTTAAATAGTCGACAGTGATTAAGTTACCGAAATCTTAAAAGAGAAAATACTTAACTCTCCCCCCTCCCCCAACTTGCCTTTATTGAAGACGTTGGGTGTATAATATTGTTTAATTGATTTAATGTTTATGGATCACAGGTTGATTAACATACCTTCTGACTTAAATATAACGCATCTATTTTCATAATCTCTGACCACAGCTTGCGCTAGCGGTCTGTTACAAAATTAATTTATCGCTCATACCTAAATCTTGTATACTATTTTAGAAACCCATGATATCAGAAGGTACAATTTTTTTACGATATTCATTACGTGTGTATGTGTATTGCCAACCATGAGTGTAGTGTTATTTTTGGGCAAACCTGTGCTACAAATAGATTTTGATGGAGTTGTGTGAAAAGTATTCTAATCCTTTTCTATTTAGCACCCTGTGACAGTAAGTCCCAGCATGGGTGCGAACAGCTCTGTTTTCCCAAACCAAGTGGAAAAGTGTGTGGCTGTATTGATGGCATGAAGTTACAGGCGGACGGCAAAACATGTGAATCAGGTAAAAAGTCTAATCTTAACCCCATTTATCTTTGTTAGGTAAAAAAACAAGTACAACAAGTGTTGCTGCTTTGTTGTAATAAGTAAGCACGTTGTTGAATGATTTTGTACCGTGATTTGAATTAAATGTGGCCAGCTAAAATTGATAGACCCTATCTCATCAAGTTTTTAACAGTTGAAACTAATCCCTATTCATAAATTAATTCTTTACAGCTAAGATCATGGAGGATAATTTCTTCCTGATTGCGGATGACTACAGACACTCGATATTTCAAGCAGACGTTGACTTTAAGACGTTATCTGCCCTTAAGCTTCCTACTAATTACGAGTGGCCTATGGGCATCGACTACGACCCCACAGAAAAACGAGTTTATTGGTCCGACTGGAAGAAAGGCATAATTCGAAGCATGCATTTGAATGGTACTGGTGTCATAACGCTTAGGCAAGGGAAGCCAGGTAAGGAAGATTTCAAAACCTGGACGAAGTTAATAGACAATTTTTGACTTTTCAATAACACCTAAATATAACAACTTGTTTTATTTGTTGATCCAATATGACGGAGATTATCAAATGAATCAAATTGAAACCCAATGTACATCCAGTAAACATACCTTTAATATATATAAAAACTTAAATGAAGTAGTATAATTTATCACTTTTTTCTAATAACGGCTGTATCGGATTCTAAATACAATACCAAAATGTAACAGTCCTCTGCAGTTTTTGAATGCTTCCGAGACAAACATTTAGAAATATAAGTTTTCTACTTACAAAGTTCATTTTCTAATTGAATTAATAACAGTCGGGTCAACTGTTTATTATAGGATCCAGAGTAGACGGCGTTGCCATCGACACCAGTTCTAAAAACCTTTATTTCACTGACCGTGGGCTGGACACTCTGGGAGTTATAAAGAGAGATGGTTCTATTCCGGAGACTACAATTTACTCATCCAACAGCAGATCATTTAATCCCAGAGCCATTTTATTGAACCCAGGGAAAGGGTATGCATGCCACTTCTTGAGATGGTTTGATTTATCACGATTTTTTGTAATACTAATATACATATAGTTGCACTTTCATTAGATTCACATTTGCCTATATATTCTCGAAAAGCAAAGCAAACAACAACCTTATGATAAAAACAGCGTATACTTATTAGTATCACCTTTTACATATTTTTAATCATGCTTTTTCCTGTTACGATCTTCAGAACTTTCTATTACACGTTGACGACGCCCAACTCTTCGCCGTCTGTGATGAATGCTACTATGGGGGGAACCAATCATACCAAAATGGTTAGCCATGGACTAAGGAACCCAAACGGCCTAACTGCAGATTTTGAAGGTATCTTTCACTCCGAGCCCTATTCAAAAGGATTTCCAATATATGTACACTTTTTATATTGATAGAATTAAATCTTATTTCCTAATTACAGTTGTATAAATATTTCACACTCATTTCTTGTTTTGAAAATGATGCTCCTGAGCTTAATTATCACACCACACCAACTGCACTAATCACTGACTTCTTTCCCCCAATTTCCAGCACAAAAACTATACTGGGTGGACGGATACGAGGATCGCGTAGAGGAATACAACTTGGCAACAGGGGAACGTACTACATTGAAAGTTCTATCTTCCTCCCATGGGTTTGCCATCACGAGGAAAGGCGATTACCTCTACTGGACCGACTGGCTTCAAAAGGGGATATTCCGCATGGACAGAAGAAATGGAACCGCAAGTGGCAAAGTTGATGTGTTTCACTATGACTACTTCACAGGGCTGAACGGGTTGAAGTATTACAATACGTCAGTAAAGAGGGGTAAGTAAGCCAATGAGAGACGACAGTGAGTTATTTTTTCATTTTAAAATGACTTTGATGGAAAAGAAAAAGCCATCTTTTTACTTTGAAGATGTTTAATTTAAAAAGTGACAGATATCATTGATATTTACTTTAACCCAAACAAGTACGCTTATTATACATGTATCGAGCAATTATATGGTTATTAAAATCAGTTAACATTATAAGCATTTAATGATACTTTTAGAATTGTTATTTAGATATCCAAATACTGGTAATCATTTAGCTTGATGTCAGTTCTTTGTCGTATTGTGAAGGAAATTTAGTAACGAAATTGAATCACCTTAATTGAAATTTCCAGAAACAACAGCTTGCTCCCAAAACAATGGCGGCTGTGCCGTCTACTGTCTGCCAATGCCGGGCAACAAAAGAAAATGTGCATGTCCAGACGGTGAGACTTTGCACTTCAATGGTAGAGATTGTGCCAAAGGTGAGAAACATTTCAACAGGTTCACTATGGCAAATATATTTCTTCCGGTTCATAATGTAACTTATATAGCTATATCATGTATAGCGATTTGAGTCCCTCAGCACTGAACTTCACATTTTATAGCCTCACTGATTTAGACTTTTAAGTACATGTTAATTTCTACTCGAAATCCGACCTCTTTTTATTTAACCTATATTTTCATCCATATCAACAGATCTTGCTTTCAAAAATTATTTCACAAAAATGAAATGCGTAGACTCGTGCAATTTTTGGGCCAATGTCGCCAGTCCTAATTTCGCCATTGTTACAATTTCCTACTTTATAAATATGAATTTTATTTAAATGGAGATATACTTTTTATGCATACCACAGGGTTGATGTGTCCCGACATGAAGTTCACCGGCGGAGTATTTTTGGATGGCTGCATGGGAGAAACCAATCAGACCTGTAATTACACCTGTGAGAAGGGCTTCAGACCTTCCGTGGATAGTTCAACAGCGCGCTGTAACCCTCAGACGGGGCAGTTTGAACCGGATCTCAGCACTCTCTGCATAGGTGAGACCAGAGCACACTACGTTCAGCTTGCTGAGCTAATAGTCCCTCTCAGCTTAACTTCCTGCTTTCGCAAATGAAACCTCTGGGAAAAGAAGACAATCCTTAAACACACCTAGTATCTTGAACATGCTTATTTAGAGGCTCACAGTATGCATATTGCATACTATGTGGGAGCTAGTGTTTTTTGTTCCTTTTTTTAGCAATTTTGGTATATCGGGCCTATTCAAGATTGTCTGAATACATCCAAATCGTTCTTAATTATGGCCCGCCTCCACCTAACAAATCAGTATGGAACACTTAGTGAATTATGATACTTTACACTTTATGATATTTTCCAGTTGAACGGTGTCCCTTGCTGGTTTTGCCAGTTGGTACACTTGGCAGGTGTCAGGGCAGGAACAGAAAAAACATTTGCCAGGTGGACTGCATACCTGGTTATCGAAAAACATCTGGGTCCGGCGTCTTTACCTGTCTAGATGACTTGACCTGGGATGGAAGCATCACGTGCGAACGTGAGTAAAATTGGTTGAACATCATTTCAAACCAACGCTTTGGAGATGCGAATTAGATAATAGATGCTGTGAAACTGCAGTTTATAATATGTTTACACCTTAATATGTTTCTTTTATTACGAAAAAAAAATTCCATCAAAATTGTGCTGCTGAATGGCACTAATAACCGCAAATATGTTGCATTAGTATTTTTTGTTATAGATACGAGATAAAGCAGGAGCATAAACTAATGTTCAATTTGTCATTGGCTCACTTTTTTGATGTCGCAGAAAGAAGACAAAATAGATACGATAGGCGACCACTCAGTCATGTAATTAATTGTCCATTGATCGAATAGTTTTTTTCTTATTTTTAGAGTTACATTGCTCTGGTGATATAACTAACGGCAACATTGCCAGGGAGTGCAATACGACCGCTGGCTCTTCTTGTGAATATGTGTGCAACCCTGGCTATCAGAAAACCACCAGTAAAGTACACTGCAACATCACCGGAATATGGGAACAAGATTTGACTACAATCTGCAATGGTAAATTTAATGCAGTTTGAGATTCAAAAATCTTTGATTATAGTAGAGTATAGTGGCTCGGGGCATAGGGTGCAATGTGTTTAGAACAACGTGTCAACTGTGTGTGCGTTTCGGTGGAGAGTGGGTATTGTAGAATATTGGGACGTAGTAGGGCACCATTTGTAAATGTTTTGGGTGAGGACATTTCTGTTATGGGTAAAATGAAGTGTAGCCAATACATAACTATTCTCAATGTCTTCTAGAAATATAAACTTCATGCACTTTTTGTTCAAGGCTTTTTAATATAAAAATCATAACATAAGGGTTCTAAAAGAAGTAACTTTGTTGTCTTCTCTAACTGCATGGCAGCATGGCATAAAAACTATTTTTCTGTTGCTTAATCTGAGTAAGGTGGTGCCCTTTTCTTTTTCTTGCCCAGCAACGAAATACATAGTCAAAACGACTAGCACCACCATCACACCTACTCAAGGTACCACATCCTATGATCGTCATTCCACCGTTCCAACAAGACTTACTAGTACTACCACAACAAGTACAACAATGAGTACAACAATGAGTACGCCAACTACAACTAGCAGTACGACGACCAGTACCACGGCGTACCAAAGCAGTACGTTGCGTACCACCACAACTAGTCGCACCACCACAACTGGTGGTACCACCTCTCCGTCCTCCACTACCAGTACGTAAAGAAGGCGTTGATTATAATAATGATAATAACTTCATGGTGTCGTGGTAGGCCTGCAATTGATATGATACAATACACGTCAAGAGCATAACCACTGGTACATGCATGATGGAATAATATCAGCATACTTAATTTTGGTTATGGGCTATGTGTTGCACGGTACGGAAATGAATAACATGGCGATACTCAAATACTTAGATAAAACTTATTTGCATGTGTTTTTATGATTTTTGTCTTTTGTATATTTCAAAATAACTATTGATTATTTAAGGTAAAGCTGATTCAGGCTTGCAATCAAGGAAAAAATTAAAATACTTCAATGTTATAGACTTATAGCAATAATAATAGTAAAACTAATGAATGATAAAGCGTTTGAAGACACTCGATGAATATTTTTTCTACACTCTAAAAAGAACCAAGCTAAACAACAATTATAGTATTAGTACAGTCAACGATCTACGGGAAATGTGGGGACCATCTTTCATTTCAAATTCATTCGTTCATTTTATCATGAAAAACAAAAGAAAACTTGTTTGTTTGTTTGTTTATAGCATACCAAAGCAGTTAAAACGGTGATAAGTTCTAAGATGATCTATTTGTTGATCATTTCGTAAATTGTACTTTTTTAGATTTATGGATTCGTGTTTTACAGCTACTATTTTTGTCCCAACAACACCAACGACTACGACGACAACGACAACGACAGCAACAACAACGATGGTAAACCCTACACCCTCTCTGCTACCGGCCTCCACGACGTCGGAGGCAGGTGTAATTGGGCCAAAGGCCTCTAGTCAAGGTCAAGGTGAGTGCATGGTTGAGGGGTGGAGAGGGGGGCACGGGATACAGCTGACGACACATTTCATTAAAGGGACACATTACTACATGTGGTCCATTGAATCTTGTTCTTGCTTATAGTGTAGATTTCATACTGATTGGTGCAGTGTAATCATTTCAATTTCAATTTTATCTTCCAGACGACAATAAAGGTTTGATAGCCGGCATCGTGGTGGTCGTTGTTGTGCTAATTGTGCTTATCGTCATCTTGGCGGTCATATTGGTCCGGAGAAGGTAATCAACATATCTTTTTCTGAAAGTGGTCTGTGTTCAGAAACTAATAATGCCGGTTTCTTTGAACTAAATAATTAATTGTTTAAAACAATTTTTCGTAATTGCATTGGTATATTGATATTAAAATCACGTTTTTTAAGTCAAGATGTTTTTTATGGTGTTTAGTGATAGATGTTTAACTTGGAAACAGAGAAACATTTGGCCATCTGTGACAATGTCTATATTTTCAGCTATTTTCATCAAATAAAATCAAAAGCCAGTATTTATCTGATCAATCTCAAATGTGTATTCCCAGGAACCGGTCGCCCCAGTATGTGGATCAGACCAACATGTCCGACTCAGAATCAATACGAGGTGGCTCCACCAGCGGGGACGTCTCAGTCGGAGTAAAGGTGGGGGCAGACGGCAGTTTAGCAATTGTCAACCCCGCGTTCGGAGAACCAGGAAAACCGGAAATGATGTCAGACACTGCTATGGACGATGTCTTTTTAGGGATGAAAGACGAAAAAGGTCTTATTGTGAATAACCATGATACATATGCTTGAAGTGTATATAAAACAGCAGTAAATGATCGTACAAATCCAAGATATTATTTAAGCAGCAATGCCGAAGGAAGACGGTGCAAATTCATTAAAACCTGTTGTACAACATCGTCAGAATTTACATATACAGTGCAACTGTGGTTTTATGTATTTCTCATATAACAGGCTGGAACCTATCTGTGGATAGATCTGTTTCATCTAGTCAGGAATTCTACAACGGTGCCACGAGATGTTGTGTGTCCTGTGGATATATAAATGTTTATTATCGAACATCAGAAAGTACATGTTCGGATTGATACACACAAAGTGTGTCTGTAAATCTCAAATACCCTCGTGTGCAAGTAAATATCATCATGAATGCACGGACGCTTACGGATTACCACTAGAATAGATGTCTTCTGATATCCTCTTACATCAAAAGAAAGGCGCGGAAATCATATCCAGATTTTTTTTTCGTTTACACTTTTGACTGAACCTACATGAAGCATTGCAGTCGTGCCATACGGCACCAAGGTCAAAATTCCGAATTTGCTTAATACTTTCTTTTATCTTATAATGAATCTAGATCTAATTGAAAAAGACCTGGGAAGCTTCATGGCCGTTCCGCAATTTTCAGTATACAAAATGCCAGAAATATTATGGGAAACTTGCTTGAAAGAGCTAGTAAATGGGGTCTTGGGGTTTTACAAATATTTACTTTTATGTAATAATTGTATATAGCAAAACACTTATTTTCGAAAAAGGTTGTTTATCTATTTTATACGTAAGATCGGAATTGTTGTTGATCATGCTCAAGGGAATACGTCGTGCTAAAATGAGTTCCTGTTTATACTCGTATACTGTAGCAAAAAGTTTCAGTGCAGCTTATGAGCCGACTTATGTCTAACCGGGGCGTTTGTTTGTTAGAGAAAAGCAATGTTGGGCATAATCGCCTGATAAATGTTTAATAGGACGATATTTCATACTTGGTGTGTGGAATGTTTATGATATGAAATCGATACAGTATCGTTTATTTCGCAAGGATATGTTTTCCTCAGTGATATATACTTCATATCCTATGTACATCTATGCATCAGAAATCTTTTAGACCGAATATAGTCTAACGCAATAAAACTAATGCATATAAAATTCAATAAAAGCAATAGCTACAAAAACGAGTCGAATCGGAGAAGTGTTTTATTTGGAAATCTACCAAAGGTGACGTCAACTTTGAATTGATTTATTTTTCCATCATATGGGCGTATTATTAACAAAATAAAACGAATTTTCGACATAATTCTTTAAAATAACTTTATAAATGGACTGCACCATTTTTTAAAGTACAGCAATGATTATGGCTTGCAGGTGCATAATTCACGACGACAATTTCGATACGACGTATATAAAGAATTTATAAATGAGAATGCACATCTATCAAAAGTATTTTATCTTGTTAATTATGGCACGAGTTTCGTGACAAAATCTTTTCAGTTTGACCTCGTCGCTGGCACTGTGGCCTCGGCCATTGTCACTCTGACCCCGTTGTTGTCACTTTGACCTCGTCGATGTCACTGTGACCTGTTATCATGCAAGGACGTGCTCGACCGGGTTTGATTATAACCAACAATACATTACCAAATCCTGTTTATTTTTTAGTTCGTTGAAGCATCCTCAGTTTTCATTCAATATCAGACGACAGAAACTACTTCAGTCTCGTATTCCCCGTCGGCGGCGTAGCTATTTCTGCTCTGATGTGTTTGGCCCTCCAGTAGATTGCACAGATGTACGATCCTGTCGTCTTTTCTAGCTGTCTCCTCTTGAAGATCCTTGCATCTGATTTTCAACAATTTTAATTCCTTTTCCAGATCAGTGCAGTCGGTTTCTTCTGGATGTACCTGTCGACATATATAAGATTTTAGTTTTATTACAACATAGCTGTATGTTGTATACATAATTTATCGCTACCACACATGCCATTCTTAGGGTGTCAAAATGTCAATCTCTAGAAAATCTTCACTGTATATTCATAATCTTGGGTATTGTAATCACAGTGATTAACATCACACAAAAACGGCTTGAATTATTTGTACTATATCCCAAAGTATCCTACTATAAATAAATTCTCACCTTTTCGGTGTCCAAAGAAGGCATTTCCGTGGCCGCGGTCGTTGAAGCACAGTGAGTCGAGTTCAGAGTTGCCTGACACGCTTTAGTCACTGCACGGGGTCTGGCAATGACCATTTGGATATAGTGCTGTCCAGAGCTCACTATCGACTCTGCTTCTTCTTTAGTAGCACCAAGGGTCAGCTGCTCGTTGATCTGGAACAAAAGAGATTATTAATTTGTATTTTTTTAGTCTTGTTCCAGGTAACCAATGAGTGTAGCATATATGTCAAATTCCATATTTGCTGTTTTCGTTTGGTTTTAATCTAGTTCAAATATCAGTTTTGAAGTGTATGGCAAATGCTAGGGCTATTGAGTGGGTATAGAGGCAAAGTACTGTTTCTAAATAAATCTATATGTAATTAATTGGAATTTCCATGCACAAATTTTGAAATAGTTCAAAAATAAATACGCAACTTAATGCATAGTAGAGACTTGCAGTATAATCAAGAACGTCAAAAAGCTCATCGATTGTAATTAGGAAAGAACGTGAATAGATTTAATTAACAACTCCTTTCAATGGAAAATCAGTGTATAAAAATAGAAATCGAAATTGGTCGACGGCTACAGAACGAAGGAGCCGCAGGACGTAGCGGCCCATTACACAGTAATTGGTTTCCCTTTAGAGCACCATTCACGCTTGATTGGCAATTCTCTATCAAAACATTTCTCGTGGATTAACTTTGCTTTTCTTTGTAGATAATATCGAACCAATAGCTAATGACTGGAAATGCCGAGAAAGGGTCAAGCAGTCGAAAAGCAGGGTTGACCGGTGTGAATGTTGAAATGAAGGATGTATTCAAATCTAATTGAAAGTCATTTGTTGTATAGAATTTCTTTTACGGTCTGCCACACATAAGTTCGAGTAATCACTCAGATGTTGGATAAAGAAATAGATCGTTACAAATTGAAGATGCATTCAAACAGAAAATTTTAAGTTGTAACATTCAGAATTTCAGTCATGATATTATACAAATTTCATTTGAACATTATAGTTGAACGGTAGTTTTTGTGGTTAAATTACATATTGTTTTCTTTTAACCGACGAAATACCAAAACTATATACATGTAGGTTCTCACATACTTGTTCATTGGCTAAAAGTATACACGGGTAAGACACACGGGAAATACTGTATATCTATATAAAACACCTTATAACTCTCGCACCCTGTATATAACCATGAATTTTTATAATTAAATTGGAAAATTCCCTCTCCCTCGTCCATCCCACTCCCCTTCACTTACCTCTAAAACATAATCCCCTTCTTGCAGCTTCCCTGCATGATAACAACTCTCGCCAGCACGTCCCGAGATTTGAACTTTAAGAAGGCTGGGGGCCGTTATGGTGTCTGCGGTTCCGTCAACAGGAGTAAACGCACTGCACTTTCCTCCAAGTACGAGTCGTTTTCCCGTAGGAGAACTAGATGGCGAGGAGTCTTTTACATCCCCCTTGGTCCAAATTGACACTGGCGTGTTTCTTTCACATTGTGTGTTACTAAACACAGTTCTTGCAAAAGAATAGCCAAATTCCTCCAACGCTTTCTTTTCTATGGTTAAATGTACAATGTCACAGCATTTTGATATGGCAAGTAAAGACGGAGGCTTTGGGCGATTATAATGGGTATGTGTATCACCTTTGCTAGACCTCACCACAGCAGAGTCACGAGATTTACGGTTGTGAGGGCTTACTTTTTTCCTTGAATGCATAGAATGTTTTAACAAATTCTCTTCGTCGCTTGAACTCCACAGTACGAAAGGACTACTGCGGGCACTTGCCATCTCGTCGGTACGACATAATGAATGGTGGGAAGCATTGTCACCTGTAATAACAAAAGTTTCGCTAGCATGCCGCTTTTCCGATTCAGAGTTTCTATTACAATTGGACTTGGTTTTAGCCATTTCTATGTTGACCCGTGATTCTGTGTTTTTACCTGTCCCATTTCGTTTTCCTGAGACTCTGAATTCAGTTGGACTCATAGATAGGTTTCCAACCTGTTTGGTTAATGCGTTGCATTCATTAGGCGTGATGTTCTCATTTCCGTTTTTTGAAACTGGCTTTTGTGTTTCGTTTGAAAGATTGCCGGGGACTTGTGGTAACATTCTTCTTGCACGTTTATTTGCCGACGGAGGAGACTGTTCTTGAGACGATTTCACGGGAGTCGAGTCCAGAGATTTAGCTTTCCGCAGCGGCGATTTGCTATTTTCATTTTCATCAGAAGTTGGTCGCACAATACCGAATTTTTCTTTATGTTTGGACACACCAGTAGAGTCTACAGATAGCGATGCACAGAGTTCAGTACGTCTGTGTTTTTTGTCAATGGCCATCAGAGAATCGTATGGATTTATATTTTCATCCCTGGGCACAAAATCTTCGTCTTCATATCCCTCGTCAATTTTCAGTGAGGCGGCTTGTATTGGAGCATTGTTAAGAACGAGGAAGCTGTCGCTTTTTAGTCTAGATCGCTCTTCTCTTTCTCCAGTAGATACTTTACTGTCACTACTCATTCGGATTGCATGCAAGGCTTTGATTGGCCTGTAAAACAACATGGAATTTTCAGTAAATTAAGCAATAATCTATCCATTTATATCTGTTTGGCTGCCTGTCTGTCCGTGCGCCTGACTTTTCGTTCGCCCGACCATCTGTTAGATTACCTGTATGTCTGTCCATTTTTTTCGTTTCATAAATGCTATACTCCTTAACTCATATGGGATATTTCAAATTAAATGAGTTAAAGCAAATGAAATACAAAAAATAATTGGTTTTCAACAACAATTAATTAATTATTCTATAACATGCAAAAAATATACAGTATTAAAGGGATAACAACTCTTCATATGAGATCTATATTTCACAATGAATACATTGTAAAGAACTCATAGAAATGTAATATATTCTATTTTACCACAAAAACGACAGTTACAGCAATAAATCTGAAATATGTGTTTGCCATCCGACCACATGACCTCCACAGAAAGCTATACTCGTAATAATCTTTTAACAGATTATTACAAAAAGCAAACTTTTTAGAAAAATACCAGGGAGTAATTTTGAATGTAGAAATGAATTCAATAACCATTGATAAGTATGGGGAAATTGCTGTTTGCCCCAGGAAAACTCATTTTTGGCCAAAACGAACAGTTGTTATCCCTTTAAGTAAAAACTGGAATTGAGTCTAACTTGCCTGGACAGTCTTGGGGAATCCCCAGCAGAATCCGATCCACTGAACAGGCAGACACCGCTATCAAAACTGGAAGTCACTTCTTTTGATTTCATTCGTCGCCGAGGCCTTATTGGAGTGAATGATGACTGCGGCCTGTCAACATTGTCGTCTGTCCCGTGAATTGGTTCAAAAACACTATCAATAAATGAGTTTATGTCACTGTCTAATATTTCTGGTGCTGTTTCTTGTTTTTCGGAAGTGCATGTTTTTCTCTGATCCTCCACCCCATTAGGTTTACTAGCAGCAGGCGGAATCTTATGCACAACGAGGCGAGATCCTTTTGTCTCTTTAAAGACCTTAGAGCCTTTCTTATCGCCCAGAACCTTCAAAACTTGATCAGTGTCGATTAGACTTAGATTTCGGAATCGAGGTTTCATGATTTTTGCCGTATCTGCTGTATCTGGCCTATTATCATTGAGGTCGCCACCAAGACTTGGTGCCTTGAAGTTGTTCTTGCTTATTTTGTCGACCTTCAGGTCGTCTCTTTTTGAAGCGCTTGTAGATCTTAAATCTTCGGTACTCATCCATTTTCTGAAAGCTGATTTGAATTTCTCTGTGCTCTTTCTAGGGGACTTTGGGGTACTGGGTTTACTTCCGTTGTAAAAGACACTCCGAGAGTCTCTCTCCAAGGCTAACAGGTTATCGCGTAAAGTGGCTATTTCCCTGTCCCTTGCGCTTGGACTGGGCATCTTGCTCGCTGTATGAAATACTACTGCGTTGTACACTCCGTCCCACCTGCACTGTACATGGTGACGTTAAGCAATGACAACTGATGTGAACGCTTCTAGATCTCTGCAACGAAAAAATGAAAACCACTGTGAACATATCTAGTACAGGGTGGCACTGCTGACGCAGAGTGCATGGCGGCGTTCACAGTAGTGTTCTCTATACTCTGCTAACACGTTAACCTATGCCTGAGCAAATGGATGGTAATTTCTTACTCAAATCGGTTAACATAGGAATTACAACCACCCCAGCCGTAGTTATTTCCTCGTCGTGACGGTATCAGTTACATTAAATGTCTAAGGTTCTCTATAGCATACGTTAAACACTATAGTAACCGGTAAATATAAGCACATTGAAGGCCAGTCCAAAGTTAAATACGGTCAACCATTGCCAGAGCTCAACAATAATAACGCTAAGCGTTTCAGCAATTTAACGTGTTTATCCGTGTGCGCTGAGGTGTGTTTGTTTAAAGTGCAAAATAAACCACCTGCAGTTTGGGAAATTGTTGTCTGGCTCATGGTCCCCGAGTTCTGTATTTCAGATGTCACCAGACCGCGGGGTAAAGGGCGGCATGCACGTGACACTTGTTTTGTATTCAGTGCTGAGTATTGACGTGCACCAAGCAGCAAAATTTCGGCTCGTGTTTATGGTGTAAACTCTAGATGGAGGTATTATCACAATGCAGAGGTATAACTGCAGACATGTGGGGGGGGGGGGGGGGCAAAAAAAAGACTTTGCATGATTACATTTAAGATATTCTCCCCAAATGATTTTCATTTTTTTTCGCTCCTGCTATTCTACAAGCGTATTCTCTGGCGTAATCAGTGCCCTTGCCGACACCTCACTAGTCTTACTCAAATAGTTTTACGAGCTTATTTATACAGAGAAGACATAACAGCACTTTCAGGATTGCTGCATATACATTGGTGTAAAACGGAGGTGTTCATACGTGGCATGCAAGGCGTGACAAATGTAAGTCGCCCTTCAGACAGAAATAGTATTCACCGAATCATTGCTTATACCCCCTTTCTGCGACCATGAAATTTGGCATCGCTGTGGTCTTAATAAGGAGGCACGAGCATTGATTTTGTGTCAGAATGAATGCTCAATGATCGGCCAGTTGTTGGCACATAAAGTATTATAATTTTTTAACTCTCAAATGGGGCCGTACTGTTGGACGCAGAAAGGACGCCGTCCAGTGTAAAGGGGGCTTTAAGAAATTGTAGATGGTGCAAATTTTCAATGTTAAATGTCATAATGGAGAGACGAATTTATTATTTTTGATTACATATCTTCTGCAGACATCCCTTAAACGATAAGTACTTCGGACACAATATCGCTACTTTTATAAGAAATAAACAAACGCATGTTTTTATTACACTGCAAACAAGGAAACCAGATCCAAAAAAAACCAATTGTGCAATTGAGGCAATTATTCAAATATGTAAAAAAAACTAAATGTCTGGTAGAAAATGTTGATGTATCTGGAAATCGTATCGGGTATATAAGAATAGCTGAAATCAAAAACAACGGGACGGTGTTATTAGAAACGATCATTGTAGGGGAAATGAAAATAATAATTCTCAAACGTCAATATGCAATCGTTCCTTTCAGACAATAATAAAAATAACTGTCTCGTGAATATTTCATAGAAAAAACATCATTTGGAAGGCCAATCCCTGTTTTACGTGATTTCGGTAAGAACCTTGACTGCTTGGAGCAGACATTTGCGTCAGATAAAAGTTAAAAATAGAAAGGATTAACAATATTGATCCCAACTGGTAAAAGGATTCGTGATAAAATGCAACACGAACGTCACAGCATATTATACACTGAAAGACACCAGTAATATCAGTATCAGTAAAATGAATGCGCCCAATATGTTTCAAAGCAATCAGTAGCCATCAGTAAGTCTAAGAACTTAAACAATGACAATGGATTTCTGAATATTGACGGTGTCTCTCTTCTCTGTTGGTAGATTTAAGAAGCAAACATTTTCTGCCTAATTCAATCACTATAACGATGAGTATTAAATGCTGGCGATGACTCTCTGCTCCATCAGTACTTTGTAAGCCTAAACGTTGAGATTTACGAACGCGATTCTCAGTCAAATAGGTGTTTATACGCGATTGCCGTGTGTTCATTTTAATATAAACATTAAACAATTCATGAAATTATGCCTTGAATATTTTATAAAAAATGTTAACAAATTTTTTTTTTCTTTGGCGTTTTCACAACTACATGTGTACTTTGTTAATTGTACAAATTCGTATAAATTTTTTCACAAAATTTATTTCAGTTTTAGTAACATTTATGTCATGCATGGATACAAAGACTGCCAGCTCTATACATTTAAAAGTGCATATTTATTTTTGGCTGTTTGTGGTGTTACTGTTGGCCCTGTTGCCACTTACCTGATAAACATTATATATAGGAGCCTATATTTCAGCGTACAATTTAATGGGTAGTCCTGTCCATACAACCGCTCGAAAAAGTGATGGCTAGCATAATTTACGCAGTTGTAAGATCCACGATTAATTTCCTTCATGATGTATTCTCCACTTTGCTGTCTTTACAAAGAAATACATGCAAACCCATCAAGGCTCTTCACAAATATTGCCTTCAGTTTAAAGTATTTAATGTGACAGAATTAATGGCAATGCTCCACGATATTTAATGCATTTGTGACGGTTCTTCTTCTTTAGTGCCTCTGTCAGTTACTGTACAATCGCCATCACATTTGACCAGAGTTCTGTATTATAAGTAAGTTCAAGATTACATTGAAATATCAGGTGTTTTCTTAGGGATTAACTGCTTCGAGGATCAAGTCACCGCTCAGCGTTAAGATTACCACAGGTATAGTCCTCTTAATACCGTCCAAGGACTCTAATCCCAACGCTTTTTGACACTTGCACGTTTTGCCTCTGTTGTTACGAATATAATGTAGGACCGTTTTACTCCTTTTAAGTGTTCAATCGTTTTAAAAGTATACTTACAGCGTGGTCATTACGCCCATAAAAATGCAAGGATGCGAATGGCGATTTCACATCAGTTTCGCCCTAACTCCTTATCAACACGAACAATAAAGAAGTAATATTCAACCCCAGTGACACTTACCAAGGCATCAAACTGAGTTATGACATATTAAAGCAGGCACTTACCCAAAATAAATGCCATATAATATAAAGCCTCGTCACGCTATGCACTCGGACCATTGAAACTGAACGTGTCCAGCGACCACTGAAGCTTTCCCAGCGTTCAATAGGAGCCCGAGACGGGGATATTATTTGGTTGTGTAAATAACTATAACCACTATGGAGTGTCAACCTGGATATATTGATTTAGAATGTAATACACAAAACAATTGTGGAAATTTTAGAATGATCCCTTTGATGCATCCTTGTCTTGTTGTATTTCTCAATAAAGAAACGGTCCTGTCAAAAAAAATATTATTAAATGATATTTCAAACTTACCGTGAGGCCAGCCGATGAAGTCCAAACCCTAGGTTCTCCCGGTGTAAACTGACTTACAAACTCCCTTAACTCTCAACCACAAAAGATGATAAGCAATTAACGGAAAATGAGTTAGAATAACAGCCAAAAATCGACATATCTCACGGTAGACTCTTGTGTAATTGTTATTTCTGGCCATTAATGCTATTGTGTTCTATCGATTTGCTTTACGCTGTTGTGAGAAAAAGCACGAGATGCCACTGATATTTGGCAACGCTGTACAAAAAGACCGGATCATTTTAACCTCTATTATTGCTCAAATGAACTTCAACGTGTTGACGCATATTGAATGAGAGGTAATTATGCTTTTAAATCAATTATCAGACGCCGGGAAAACGAACGTTTTGCCCTCTGTGTTGATATTCTATACGAGGTGTGGTACGTTAACAATGTTATCTTGAACAGGATGACGTCAACAATCCCCTTTCAGTATCGAAAAAGAACTGAAAATTGACAAATGACACAAAACAAGTTTTTAAATAAATGTAACAACAACAAACACAGCTCGTAGCAAAACCGTAGCCATAACTCCAAAAAGAGGAGTATATGCCTTTGCCGGTATTTTATTTGACTGACAAAATATATTTTTTCACCTGTGTGCTTCTTAATGAGAACACATAATTATCCAAACACGTGGTTGCTATAACTTTTCATTTGCTATCGCAGCAGCTTATATTCAAGGCATTATATAATATATTTGAAAAGTACCTTATATTGGAAGAGAACAGTCTTGTAGAGAACGAAAACACATCCCAAAAAGTAAAGAAAAAGTTAAAAGGCAAATTTTAGGGGGAACGATGCCACATAGCTGCAAGGTCCTGCCCGGAGGGGCCGGGTCCAACTTCAAATTAATTTTATTAAATCATACTGTAATTATAACAACCATAATCCGTCTAACATTAAAAATAAGCTTTGGTCCGCTTTACGTCAGAATGAAATAGAGAATAGTCCGCAGTAGTAGAATGAAATAAAGAATGGTGTCTGTTTCACGAAATAACTTTATGCCCTAGAATCGGGCTATACTTAAACAAAGTTTTAGGTTAGTTTTATTTTGACCTAGTATATATCAACGGTTTTATCGAAAGTACAAGAGCTATAAATACTATTTGCCTGCTTAGAAAAGGAATAGAACAAGTTAAAAAGCTCCAAAAAAAAAAGATATCTTCCTCTGTATACCCTGTGACAGTTCTAAGTATATTAGGGCCCGGTGTCAGTTGTTTTCTATTCATCTGTATGCAACCTCAATTGACCTCCCTTGAAAGATTTCACTTTCTCAACAGATATGTTTCAAATATCCAGTTACAAAATGTGGCTTTGTTTTTTTCACTATGGTTAGCTAATTCATTGGCTGTACAATCTGTTTTAGAAGTTCAATAAAGAACATTGGCTCATGACATGATTTTCTGTATTGCTCTACGTATTGCGTTAGAGGTGACAGCTTTTTTGCTCGGGGAATATACAAGTTTTGAAACACATCCACGTGGCATTTAGACTACCAGTTTTTAAACCACCAAACAATGACAATGAAAGCTAATCGTTTTCATAGCAAACAAAACACACTGCATGAAAACCACCAGTCTGTAGGAAATATTTTCGCTGTTAATCAGGTGTAGGCCTATGTCATGTACGACCCTCGGGTGTATGCCATATACAAATACACCTTGCAGACAAGTCTTTGATGTTATTCATTGTTTTTCTCTCATGAAAAGGTGTTGTCTAATATGACAAGAAGCTATAATACCTACATATATAAAATAAATAAGTAAATTAATAAAGTTATCAAACTTGATCTAAAAATCATCTTTAACTAGGTTGGTCACTTAGGAAACTAAGCGTCCACCACTATTTCTGACATCAGCATGTACGGCAAGGTAAAATCAGCAATGCCTCTTAGGTTCAGTAGCACAAATACATACCGTTCTCTCCTTTCAAAAATGTGTCCTTAAACTTACATGTTCGTGTCAACTAAACAGTTTCCGTAAACTGTCGCCCTCTGTTACCACAGAAAAGAGATACAACAATCTAAAGCCAAAAAAACCTTTTCTGGTTTTCTATCCCATTTTCTATCGTAAAAATGTGTCTTTGGCTCATCCTTTACATTTGCAGAGCTAAGTGAAACAAAAATGTGATCCTCCCCCGCACACCCCCATGGACAGCCCTAAACGGTACACTAAAATTCCAAAGTGCCCGTGCATATCTCTGATGATAGGTCTATCAGTCCTCAAGGTTTCAACTTCCCCACTCTGATGGTCTAAAAGAAAGATACCAGAACTTTCAATGAGAAAAAGGAGAAACGTGCACTCCAAGCGACAGCCCAACCTCCAAAAGGCCCATGCATATCCCTGATGATAGGTCTACCAGTACCGAAAGCTTAAACTTCCTCACGGTAATGGTCTAGAAGGAAATAGCATAAATTACAATGTGAAAAAATAGAATACCCCACCCCTCTTCAGGGACAGCCAAATCCCTAGGTACACTGAAATTCCAAAGTGGCCATTCACATCCTTAATAAAAGGCTTACATACATGTAGTTGTATCAATACCAAAATTTTCAACTTCCTCACTCTAATGGTCTAGGAGAAGATACCAAAAATAAGAATGCGAACCGGTTGCATTTATATTCCAAAGGGTCCTTTCATATCTCTGATGATAGGTCTATCTGCACCGAAAGCTTCATCTCCCTTACTCTTATGGTCTAGGAGGTGATAGGATAAATTACAACATGGAAAATTAGAAAAATGAAGCGCCATCTTGTCTTCGTTGATGATTTTTTCTAACATACATTAAAAAAAAGTAAACGCACGAAACTAAAATGGTCAGTTGAAATGGATATTCATAAAATATGCCCAGGTTGATGGTTTATTTGTGAATTGATGGATTTGTATTGATCAAGTATAGCGGTCTGGTTTCACTTGGCCGCTCCCCGTGAGAATACTTAAAAGGTTCGGTTTTTTCACCCATAAGACTAATGGAGCATGACGGAGTGGAGGTCAATCTGCATGACCAATACACAGACACTCCTTACAGTCTAGGCAATAAAAGGGCACACCAAAATGTGCAATTCTGTCACTTGTCAACATGATGTCTGAAATCGTGAGGGACCGTGCAATCAGCATGCTCAATGTTGGCTTGTTGGTAACAGAAGTTGCAGCATGCCTGAATGTGCATCACTCCACTGTCAGCCGTCTGAGAACACGCTTCAGAGACACTGGTAGCACTAGGAACCGCCCACATACCCGCCGGCCATGTGTTACCACACCAGATATGTCGCCCATCCAACACTTGTGGGATGTTCTGGATCAGCGTTTTTGCCACCATGTTCCAGCTCCCGATGTGCTGGTAGCACTCTAGGAGGAATAGGATAATATCCCTCAGGCCACTATTGACAACTTAATGATGCCCATGCTCTGCCGGTGTACTGCTCTGTGCGAAGTTACTTATGGTGGCCATACATGTTATTAGTGTCTGTGAACTCAGGATGTGGACCCCCATGGTTTAGTTGATGCCCTAACTCTTGGACTATGCATTTAAGCTTCCTGTAATGCTCTCAAAGTGATGTATATTTGTTGAGGAAAACGTGCTGTTAATGTTGGCCATATACTCAAGTTCCATACATGAAAATAAATCAACATATTCTTTCGTGCGTTTATATTTATGTTCAGTATAGGCCCTACATGTTGAATAAAATGAATAAAGAACCCTTGAAAATGTTTGTTCACGTCGCCATGACGGTTTCCATTTTAGAGCTAATAAAATTTGTTCCTCAAATATCCAGTCAAATATTATTTTTTTTAGCGTTGTGACGATCTGACGCAAGCAACTTCATTATTATATAAAAGGACTGGCGTCTTGATTTTTTTTTTCATTTTTAGAGACGGCTCAGGTTCGTTGATTCTTTCATTCGGTTGGTAATCGTGACATTTTAGCTCTTTTACACGCAATGGACTTAAAATAATATGGGTAGCTTTTTTCGTCCTAAATCTTTACACACGTTTTGATACCCCCGATTTTAAATTTTGTGTGCGTCAGTAGGCTTTCTAAATGCACACAGCTGTATAAAACTTATTGGGTATATTTATAGAGGCCTACCTAAAATGATTGAAATGCAGTTCTACCTCTCACCTGACTGTCCCAATTTAAGTTAATATTAAATGTTAGCCATTTAAATGCATTTTGTAAACAAAAAAATGTTTGCACAATCAGCTTTGTTGGTTCAACTGTCGTTGCTTACACTTGGTGCGTGCTGCTCATAAAAACATGAACATAGGCCTATTTGAAACTAGCTAATGAATTGTTTTTTTGTTACTCATCAAGCTCTTTTTCTATATATTACAAAGAAACAGGGATGCATCTGTTGCCTGAAATTTCAAAATTATTTTCACAAAATCATACCTTTGTGAGAATTTGCTAGGTGGTCTTTGTTGCACGGGATTCAGAAATTGATAGCCGGTAGACCACGTTCAGTATTCCTCGATTTTGGCTCGATTTTGGCTTTAATCAGTAATCCAGTAATCGTTTTTTTAATTTATTCATCTATTTATTTTTTGAGTGTATGCGTTTGTCTATTTGTCCAACTGTTTTTCAGACGAGAAGCACATGATCTACACTACTCTGGATCCTACGTTAGTTTGAATTCATTTGGTTCATACAAGTTGTTGCTTGATGATTTATTCAAATTCAGCTTTAAGCTGGCCTTTTGTGCTTTTTCATTTTATAAAGTGAATAAGAGGACCTTTAGCTCTCACAATTTAACCACAACCAACATGAGGTGCTTTGACCAGTAATAGGCCATTGCCATTATGCTAATGATGCTGGTCTCTACGCATGAAGCAACGTCGTGTTAAACAGAAAGTGCGCTGTGATTGGATGGGCAAGGATTGGCCCACGAGTTGATCGTGTGTCAGGCATTGGGTAGTGGTTGACAGTTTATATTTAACATACACAAGAAGCGTGGCTGACATACGTAATGCAAAATACATAAGGGAAAAGGCATCGGAATTAAGTACAATGGTGGAAATTAGAAGCTGTATGGTTCATAGTTTATTTGAGTGAAAATTCAGTTGGATTTGTGACAAATGGAACGCATCTTCTGGAAACACATCTTTAAGAAATAGAAGTACTAGTAGTAGCCTGTTGGATATATTTAGTGAGACTAATCAAACATCTGGTGAATTGTTGATTTTATTAAAGTTATAGGCCTACTTATTTTTTTCTGATTTCACGTTAGAAATGGAGTTCATTATATCGACATTAAAGTGTTAGTAGGCCTACGAGTATGTACATGTACTGTCCATCGGGAACAGCAGTGTGGATCATGTATTACAACAGTATACTTTATCTTACAACACTGACGACATTTTACGGGTGATATACGACAATGTTACAGCACTTTCTCTTTAGAGCGGCACTTTGCGCTCTGTTGACAGCATGCATTGCGGTAACAGTCACTCCAAGTAGGCCACAAGCAGGTTCAGGAGGGGGTCTACAGGGTGGAGGAGAACCCCAAGGACACTCACCATCAATCTCTTTACCAATACCCATCAAGTGTAAGGCACAGTGCATTGCTGACTGTTTGCAACAGGTGAGGAATTACTGAATGTGTGCATGTATTTGTATGTGTGTGTGTATGAGTTACGGTTTGCGTGTGCATGCATGTGTGCCAACATAACGTGAAATTCATATTGTATATCATTTTAATATAAGCTACATGTAATATTTATACCCCATGTGCTGAGTATGTATCTTAATTTACTTAAGAAGTAGTGGCTCTTCAAACGGAAATTCTGACAAAAATAGAGGTCAAATTTTCATCTGTTTCTAATAAAACTTTGGATAATTTTTCTTCCATGCTGTTAAGATGTACCAACATGAATAAGTAACATGTGGATGTCTAATATTATTTTGACTTTAATGTTTTTTCTTTGTTTTGTGCCATTTTGCAGCAAACAGACACAGTCAATAGATCATTTGTAAGTATGTGTCAATATTGATATCGTATTTGTAAAGTACAAGATTATGTACTGTATTGTTACAATGTACGTAATATTATATGTCATGATAATGTATTATTGGAACACACAGTATTTACATGTAGGGTTTACCATTGCTTGAATGTGAAGTTGAAAACAACATGTAGTTTTAATTGTGTCATTTGCCAGGGATACCAGCAGATGACATAGCGATAAACTGTTATCATCAATTCGTTTTGCTAAGTGAGGTTAAGGTCTACTTAGCCATGTGGCACACAAGCCTGGTATTCCCACAGATTCAACCCACTGATACAGAAACTAGCCCTAAGATGTGTTTATCTAATTTGTACACATTATTTTCCTACCTGAAATACAGCCTTAATAAAATTTTTATCTCCACTAGGCAAAAATGAAATAAATAAAATATAGATGTTTTTGTGAAGTTGTTAGAAAAAACGACTGATATATTTGAGAAAATATTGATTGACTGCTGCCTCCTTTCATTGTATCTGCATATCAAAATCTCTGAGCCCACTTTATATTTTTGGAAATTTGTTGGCTGAAATTCAGTGCAGAGTTTGAACAGAGCATTTGAATCAACAGCTTAGTCAAAATCAAGGTAGGGAGATATAATACCCTTTGTGAGGTAGGCTACTTTTTACTTATACACACGAGTTGTTGTCAAGTTTACAAGTGAGGGGAAATGTTTGAACACCTGCCTCTGTGAAAATCAGTCACCTCTCTGGAGACCAAGTGCAAACAAAACCAAAAGCATATTGATATTGTTGGGAGCCAGGGCCCATCCTGTTATAGTGTTAGTGCCAATTACCCAAGTTAGTACTATTTAGTGAAAAGAAAACATTCAAATTTAAATTTTTTAATAAATGTATTTACCCTCCCTCTCCTTCAGTAATTTTGAGTGTTGTTATGATTTGGTCAGATTAGATTGAAGAAAAGAAGCCTTCTGTAATGGATATGTACATTTGTAGATAATGCACATATTACCAAGTGTGTCAGAGTCTCAGAGATGATCATGTGTGCTGCATTGTGAATTGTAAGAATTGTAATTTGTTCTTTATTTGTTGTCTCATCCAGGCAAATTGCGGTGCAACTTGTACTAGGATATTGTCAAATCAAACAAGAGAAGAAGACTGTGTGAGTTGCTATTGGAAATATTTTCCTTGTAAATTCTTCTTGCTCCGTCTTTAGTATGAATTTCATACTACTGTCTCACTTCCAATAATGATCCTGCCTTTACATTATATTACAAAAGTGTTTTTTTTTTTTTTACATACATTGTTTTCTTTCAGTCTGGGTCATTCTGTGAACAAATCCAGCACTGCTTGGTTCAGGAGGTTGTAGGTAAGTTTTTTTTCTCTCTTTTTTTTTTTACAAAATGATGTCTGAAGTGGTAGTTGCATTCAAAATAACAATATATGTAGATTTTTTTGCATGTAAATGTAAATCAAATTATGAGTGCTAATAAAATTTTGATATTGATATGATTCTAAAAATTAATATGGAAATTCAATATTTGATGAGTGCAAAAAAAAAAAAGAAATTAAATATAAGCATGTTCTTTTTTTATGAATTTCTGCATAGGTATCATTCCTTCCACTGCTTTAAAACCAGAAGTCACAAGTCTTACACCATACAATCAGCTTGTACGGTGGAATGATGCTAATGAAAATTTGGGCATATTCATTGTTGGCTTCAAGTATGGCACTATAGAAAAACATTATATAACTGACCAGGTAAGTCTTGCGAATGCTGGGTATTTTTATCTCAATGAAAAATGAGAAAAATAGGTTAAAATAGATTCCAAAGCACACACAAAGAAAATCATCAAAATATAATCTGTACATTTTTTCAAAAATAATGTTGAAAGAACAGTTTTGGATTTTTCAAATAAAAATCGGACAGTTATCTGCTCATGATGTTCATCTTGTGAGTTTTAACTACATTATGTACTTTAACAACATTCAGATATGATTTTTTTTACAAAAGAAACAATATTATGCTAAATAATTTTTCCCTTACTATTACACAGGAGAAAATGATTACTGAAATCATACCTTGAATAGTCCTTATTGGTTAATGTTTTTTCTTGGTGAATGTTTGGTTGTAGAAAATTTTATTAAAATTTTTGTTGTAAAAAATTGGCCAGTATTTGTGTTGTTGGAAAATTCTTGAATTTTTTCAAAATTTTGAATTTACAGATGGAATATATTGTGAAGTTGAATGAGTTATTGCTCTGCCAACAATATTCTGTGCGCATCTTTGCTGTGACTGGATTTGAGAGGATCACTGCAAGTCAGCCTACCATTTTCAGCAGTTCGTACTCATTATTTATTTGTTAAAAATATACATTTAATAAAAAGATATTGTTTAATGCCATTATTCTTGCTGATAAATTTATTTCTTGCATGTAAGAGTAAAAATGTTTAAGTAGAAAAGAAAGTAACCCTTTTTCTGTAACACAATCAATCGTGTCTAAGACTGCATTCCCACAGATTTTTAGATCGATCTATCCCTGTGGGGAGTCTCACTACATTGCTGTCAGCTTAGCTGGCTTAAATGTCTGTCCCGCCTACTAAAAACTGTAAGGGGGTAATTATCTTTCGTGCATGCTTGGCTGATAGCAATTTAGCATGAACCCCCAGGTAGTTAAGTCGATCCAGATGGATCGATCTAAATCTGTGGGAAGCCAGTCTAAATGTCATACATTTTATTCTTCTTCTTCTAACATTTTACAAACCATTGAGTTCATTATCCATGCAGGTTCTAATAGATCAAGATCTTAAGCTTGCTTTCATTATATGTACCATTTTGTGTACAATATTTACCAAAAAATATATTTGCCCTAACGAAAAAGTCCTACAGGATCCTATAAGATCCTATAGGATCCTATAGGAAATTGGGCCAATTTCCTATAGGATCCTATAAGATCTTATAGGATCCTATAGGACTTTTTCGTAAGGGTGGTGATATGCATATACATGTATACCTCTCTAACAAGATAGTTTGGAACTTTTATACTCAAGTTATATTCACTTAGACAAACCCATACCTGGGACAGTTGGTAACCTAACTATTGGACCATTAGAGAGGAGATCTGACCAGTATGTTTATGGGTTCTTTCAGTGGACGCCACCAGAGGGTAAGTAGTGCAGCATCTTATTTGATATGCTTAGTGGATGAAACTTATTGAAATATTTTTTTCTCTCCATTCTTCAGTGGTTCAGTGATATTAGGCTTATTTGTTTGCTTCCATAAATCCTGGATTTTATTATAAAAGTTTTACAGTCTTTTTACAAGCCTACTTTTGAGTTTCATGTGTAAAATTCTTTGCTTTAATGTTCATAAAGATGTAAGCAGAATGTAATAATGCTTAACAAAGTCAGCAGGTGGATCCAGACTTTTTTGACAGGCTTCTAAATCATGGCAAATATATATATATATATATATATATATATATATATATATTTAAATTGAAAATTCAATTGTGCCAAGGCTATATTTCAAAATTTATACTTTAATATTTCAAACACTTAAACATTATATGCTGTGTTTTTATCTTTTGATGATCATTATAAATGAGCAAAGTCAGAATTATAGGAATCATAAAGTGCTCTATAAAAAAAGGTGATGATCAAGAATCTAAGGCCCCATTCACATCGAGAAGAGCTGAGGCTCAAGAAGGCTGAGACCTAAATATGGTGGACGTACATGAAAGAAAAACCACCTAATCCTTTAATGGTCTCTCCGCCTTTCACACGCCTCCCCATGCATCGTCCCTGCTGGGGTACAGTCATTAAATCTCAGCTCCATTGGGATGACACATGGGGAGGTGTGTGAGAGGCGGAGGGACCATTAAAGTATTAGGTGGTTTTCCTCTCATGTACATCTGCCATATTTAGGTCTCAGCCTTGTTGAGCCTTGGCTCTTCTCGATGTGAATGCAGTCTAATACACACTATATGTGTATTACATGAATTACTATAAAAATACCTACATTTTTCCATTAACTGTTTCATCTTGCCTGCATCTTTTAGGTTGGAAATCATCAGACATTTCTTACTACAGATATAGACAATCGGCAGTGAATCCTGGGCCACCTCTTATAATTGCTAATAATAATTTTAACAGTCACCAGGTATAAAATTCATTTAGTGTTCATTTGTCTTTAATTTATTTTTAATGCTGATTAACTGAATCAGTTTATACAAAGGTATCCCTCCATTGAATGCAATAATACTTTCAATCATTAGCTGACCAATCAGACTTTATCAGACTTCAGACAAAATATCCTGATAAATTTCAGTTCATTTTCCTATTGCCATTTATAAAAATTACAAATGAGGCTGTTTTTTTCTTAATTCAGTGAGATTAAAAAAATGAATTGATCAATAAAAACCCAATAACTACCGTGGATAAATATTGACTGGTAAACTTCAGTTGATTTTTTTCATAGCTATCAAGAAATAAAACTTTTTGTTTATTGCAAATGAAACTTCGCTGTGAATTTTGTACCAGTATGATTACATGATTTATCTTTACATTGATTTTTAGACAGAGTTAACATCAGTGGAATTCAGAGTCTTGTCTAATCCTGTGAAACCAAAATTTACAGACTTGCTATATATATTTCAGGTAACTAAAAATCAGATAATTATTTTTCAATCTATAAGGCATTTACTTGATATAGAATATTTCATACTTTCTTAATACCTGTAGCATATAACACTTATTTTCTAAGCACCATTTTGTTTGTCTTTTTTGAACTTAGGTATAGTTTCTACTCTTTGTCTACCATTGCAGGTAACACCTGTTGCCAGCTGTGCAGAATTGCTTGTAGGAGCCACAGCAAATATAACTTTGAATTTCTCAGGTAATCTTTTATTCTTTGTTCTCACCCATTTTTACCCATGGCACAGCCAATAAACTAGTCTATATATAAGTTGTTGATTTAATCTTATTGTTACATATTATGACTTTATTTCACCTTTTGCAAATGAGCAATGACCTTATATGCTTGTTACCAATACAACTGCAAAAGTCATTTTTCCCCTTTTTTTCACTATAAGCAATCATTTTATATTGGTTGATGCACTGGGAAGTATAATGAATTGTGGTGATTTCAGATTGTAACTCTGTCAGAAACTTTGAGGACTGCAGTGCCCAGAAACCTAAAGGTTAGATTGAAAATTTGTGATGGGCAGGAGATAGGAAATAGATATTTTTGGTGTAGCTTGTACTTTTTGACTATTTTTTTCAGCAAAAGGATGAAATTAAACTATCAAATACCAAACATGATTTGCCATCAACATTCCATTCAATTACAGATACCAAATTCAACATGGTTAAAGATACCTGCTTGGGTTCACTGTGCATTCTTCCTAAACTGGCCAATGAATTTTAAATAATTTTCATTGAGTTTCATATAATATTTTGTGGTGCATTTTCACAGGTGATGGTGTTTCTATATTGGTTTAAGGTTCCCTAAAAACTACTTATTTATGTAATTTTTAATTCATTTTTTTAGACTTTTTAGGATATATATATATATATATATATATATATATATATATATGTATTTGTAGAACTTGCTAACATGAAACTCATGTTCAGATATATGATTCAATTTGCAACAAATTCCTTTATTCTTATTTTCAATAAAAAGATGGATTGTTGTAATAATTTGCCATATTTGTGTGGAAGTGGTGTATGATGGTACCTTGTAGAATGTTTGCTTTTGTACGGTATTTTAATATCTTTTAATTGCTTTTTAAGAAAATAAGAAGAAATTACAATCTGTATATATTTCCATTTACATGAAAAATGTCATTGGTTATTTTGTACTGTACATATAATATAGTTACCATCTGCATTCATAAAAAGTTATTCCAGTCATTAATGCTGTTATTTTGATTCAGAATTGAATACATTCAGTTCAAGCGTGAATAATTGAAATGACATCACTATTACTGTAACATCTATGCAGTTTACTGTACAGTCTCATTTTACTTCAATCATCATTATTATTATTTTCAGAAGAAATGTTAATATGACATTGATATCAATCCAGAACTAAGGCCATTCAAACTAAAGATCCTCTATAACAATCTAACATTTATTCATTATTCTATATAGCATCCCCATGCTTTTTGCATTACTATTATTATTATGAACTTCCTATAATTATTATACCCACTAATTGTAAATCAAATATATTGTTCTTTTCAGTTCCTCGTTACCCAGGAAGAGTAAATTTGAGTACTGTGACATTACATTCAGTTCCCTTTAGTAATTCCGAGATATTGGTGGCCTGGCAACCCCCTGAGACTAACCCTGCTGCAGTGGAGAGGTATGAGCTACAGTGGGGCCCAGTAGATGAAAACACGGGGAACCCATTGCAACATGCAATGCCTCTGCAGGTAGAGGGCAGTGCAAGTTTGGGAGCTGTAAGTACAATTGAAAGATGAATGCTTTAAATGTCTTGAATCCTAGAGCAGCCAGGTTGAGCTGTGTCTTAAGTAGATGTATGGTTATACAGTTTGGTCACTTACAATTTCATGAAGTGGATTTCAGTTGTGCATTTAACACTTTTCCATTAATGGCAAATAATTATTTCACCTAATACACTCATTTATCATACTCATTCATTCATTCATAAACCTGCATTCCAGATTTTGCTGAAAATCAATCCCATCTTTCATCATTAAGTTACCACTGTATAGTTTGGAAGAAAAGTCTGTTCATATCCCTGGTTTAACTATTTTCTGTTTTCCATAGTTTTACATTAATGTGGCTGATTGGTTTTTTAGTCCAAAACTAAAGAATAAGTAGAAAACCCCTAGAATAATGAATTGCACATTTGGTGTTTTATTTCACATGACTAAGTTTAAACATTTTAAACAATTTAAACATTTTAAACGAGATTTAATTAAGTTATGATAATAATCAGTTTAAAGATTTCTTGAGATACACCAATATTTGCCACCTATGCCTTTTATAATGTTTTATTGTTTTCACTTTAGAATCATCTGAATAAAACAATTACTGTCCGTGAGCCACATAGAAAATATGGCATTGAGGTAGTATATATATATATATATATATAAGTGACAGCTGAATTTGAAAAAGGAATGTATATTAATTTTGTCATATTCAGTTTCTGTCAATTAAAAGAGTTAAAACTTTTAGCACTAGATGACAAAAACAAGAAAGTTTCTGTTCAAAAGCTATTTTCAAAACACACAGTCTACTTTCACAATCACCTTTAAAGTGACTTTTCTCACTTCTGTTCTATACAAAGGCAAGTAAGATCTTCACCAGATTGGTTACTTTCAGATTGCAGCTCTGGGCAGGGATGAACAGCCTGAATGGAATTTTCTACTTTACAAACCATTTGAACCTTTTTGGCTCCCATGTATGTAATGATCAATCAAATGTCAGAGACAATGATTAGTTATGTAAAGCTAGCATTCAAGTTTACTTAACAACATCTGCTATTCTAAGTTAGAGAGCACTTTATTTTCAAAAATGTAATTACTCCAAAATTTTAAATACCTCAATTTTTTTTTTGTGTGTGTGTGTGTGTGTGTATATAATTTTTTAAGGGTATATTGTTTTCAAAAACTCTTACTTTTACTATTACTATTACTTTCTGCTTAAATCATGATCCTGAAAAGCAGACAACAATTTTTCTGTTAATGTTCATGATAAAAATTTTCACATATGTATATATTTTTATATGAGACTGACGATTTTGGCCGTATCTATATCTCAATATTTTAATAGTGCTTGAACCAGAAGGCAACAGGTCTTACAATATTGATGGTGGAAGTGCTCCAAACCCTATTGATGATAGATTGATACCTGATGGCAACATACCTCTCTTTCCATCATCCGCACCAATAAGTCCAAGACCACCTATACACAGGAACCAATCTGTGCCCAGGGAATCCCCAGGTAGAATTTTGATTGAAATCTAATAGAAATTTATACATTCATAAATAATATTGTTGTCCTGAGTTCAGTGGCCAAACAGGTGGCAGTACTTCTACTGGTAATTCTCCACCTTGTCTTTAATGACACCTTTTTAACCTTTTTTATATGTTTCCTGTAATGTTTTTTTTTATTTCATGACAAAATTCTTTAAAATAAAATAAAACATCTGTGTTATTCAAAGTGTCAAAAATTTTAAAGTTTTAAAATTCTTTTTCTTTACATGTTACTGTATATCCTGCCACTAGACCAGGAAGCTGATAACTTTTTTACTTTGTATAAACACCATTGATTTTGACAGCTGACACTACTCTCTGAAAAATTACCCTTCAAATGTTCAATAAAGAAAATTTTGAAACTCCATCTAATGTTGCATAAGAAAAATTGACACATTTGAAAATAACTAAACTTTTAACTAAAATATGTGCATAATTTAAAGTTTAACTAAATCATGTGCTTAATTTCAAGTCTAACTAGAATATGTGCATTTTACATGGCATTATTACATCTTTATTTTTACAGCAAAATCCAAACCAAATCAAACTGCAAGTGAAACTGACAGTAAAACCCTCATCATTATTGTTCCTTCTGCCATGGGAGGATTTGTGCTACTGTTCTTGGCATGTTCATGTGCTCGCTGTTACCAAAAGAGGCTCAAGAAAATGAAAACAAAGAGAACTGGACTCTATGACCACAACATTGTGTTCAGTATCCCAGGAATGGTGGACAATGAGAATTATGCCTCAGTAAATATACAGTAGGTAGCAGTGTCACTTGATGGTCTCTGAAAATGTCATGTGTCACCACTTAAGTGTCACCTGGTTTTATAACATCAACATCAAACAACTTGTGTGTGACTGGTGTTGGCTTTTAATTGCTCTTTAATCATAAAGATGGGGACATCACTACATGATTGCCAACTGCATGAGCATGACATGTCACCAAAGTATGATAATTATGAGTGTCATGTGGTGACATCTTGAGAAAGGATAGATAAATAATCTAATGATTGATACCATTGTTAAATTTCTGTAGGTTGTATGTATATTTGACCATAAATGATTCTAAGCGATTATATTTGAATTCGTTGAGATTTTTTTCTGTGAGACGGTTTTCAGTGATATTGCCTGAAGTTTAATGATATCAACATTGATGACATCAGTATAAAAACAATGCTATTTTGTAATTGGCTAATATCTGAGGTCACAATTATCAAAGCCACCCCTCATTTTGATTGTATATTGTTTAGATAAATGATATCAATCATTATTTTTCCTTAAATCACTTTTATGTAAACTTTCATAAACTTTAGTGACAAACATTCTTACCATTTCCCATGCGTAGACCTCCAGTGAGAGCAGACCAATGGGAAATATCCAAGTCAAGAATCCTTTTTGGTGAGGTGCTTGGTGAAGGAGCATTTGGCATGGTGTACAAAGGTTATGTGACTGGCCATATGCATGCTCAGCGATTGTCATCATCTGATAGTGCTCACTTAGAGAGAGATCAAAATTTGACTGTTGCTGTCAAAGTGTGCCATGGTGAGTACTAATTAACTGTATAGCTAGTGTTCAGCTTTATCAGCTTTAAATTTGACTTTACAGTCAAACAGCATCTAATAGACATGTATTTTAAAGCATGTTCTAATCTTCAAAGTGTTTTACTATGAAGACTGTAAAATGGATGACTTAAACTATATTATGCACAAATAATTGTTTCATCAATAAATGAATATTAGTTCTCCTTTGGATCTTATATCTTCAAAACATAAACTGTCTTCAATATTACATATAATGTCAGTTTTACCACTTTCAATTATACAAAAAAATTGTCAAATATATGTAAATAAGTTTATTGGTAAAACTGACATTGGACATCTAGGGAAAAGTATCAGAAAACAGAACAAAAAATGTTTCAGTGGAGTATTTGGCTGCCATAATTTTCCCTCGTAAACTTCTAATTAAGGTTTGTATTCATGTAATATTGTTTTTTTTTTCCATGCAAATTGATTATGCCTGAAAGGCTTTTTCATATGTTTTGGCATGGGCTTTAATCTGATACTTCCAAAATTCCTTTTAACTTTATTTCAGAGTTTGCAGATGATGGTCAGAAAACAGAATTTTTGAAAGAGATCTGTTTGATGAAAGCCTTGGGACACCACCAACATATTGTAAGCCTCATTGGCTGCTGCACTCTGGAACAACCCTTGTGTCTGATAGTTGAACATATGAGCCATGGGGACCTACTGCATTATCTGAAAGCTCACAGGATGAATATGTCACAGGTACTGTACTGGCTGTACTGTCACATACTAGACTGTAAAACGTACTGTCAAACAATACATGTCATCAGACACACCTACTGTAAAACATGCCTTTGAAAAGTATACCATTTCTAATGGAATCACAGGTGAGGATCCTCAGCAAAAATGAAGGAGTATGCAAGAATAATTGTTGCTGCAAATTTACAAGACCATCTAAGGTTTGCAAAAAGTATTCATATCCTTTCCCAATAAAAGCAACTTCATTTGCATGGTAAAATTCCTTATGGCAAATTTGCAGCAGCAGTTTGTGAGCAGCATTAAATTTGGTGAAGGGTAATCAAATATGGCTTACCCACGTGAAAGCTTATTGCATAATCCCCTTGATAAATCTATTCAATGGATTAATTAAATAGAGTATTCCAGTAAAAAAAAAAATAGGATGCAGGAACAGTTTTTAAAATAAGACCAACAAAGTGGATAATTTTTTTTCATTAAATTTCAATCAGGAATGTTATTTCAGGGCAGTTCAGAGGCTTCTAGGAATACAGATATACATGTAGATAGTCAAGAATCCATTTACCCATCATGTGGTGTGGTGGAAGGGGAGACACTGTCATACTCAGATCTGCTGTCTTTTGGAAGGCAGATTGCTGTGGGAATGGTAAGAAAAATTTATCCTGACATAAAAATGGCATTCAAAAGCTTTCCAACATTTTCTACTATTCTGTTTATTTTTACTCAGATTTATCATTCCTTGGATGAAAATAAATAATTATTGGCCTGTACCTGATGAATATTCAAACAAATTTTCTTATAATCAATTATTGACACAAAAGCATTATTAATTTTTTAATATAGTTGTAAAGATGTAGATATAAAGATGTAAATTGTCTTGCAACAAAAAAAGTAAATAACTAGTGCTAATTCAATGTGCAACTGTTCAGTGAATTTGAACACCACACTAACTGTAGTAAATAATTCTTTGTCTTCATCAGGAATATCTCTCCCAAAAAGGTTATGTTCATCGTGACCTTGCAACCAGAAATGTTCTCATTGGAGAAGGTAAAAATGTCAAGATTGGTGATTTTGGACTAACTAGATACATATATGATGACAAAATTTACTGTAACAGAAAAGGTGGAAAACTCCCTTTGAAGTGGATGTCAATAGAGGCCATTTTTGATTTGACTTTCTCTACTGCAAGTGATGTGTAAGTATTTATGTTTATGATTTACCTTTTTTACTGCTTCCGTCCTTATTATTCATTGGAAAGATGAAAATTTTAAGTAAATGTCCAAATGGACAAAACTCCTGTTTTTTTATTTTTTTCTTTAAAAAATTAATGTTCACAACTGGTAAAAGATGGCGCTACAATCTGGCAGTTGTCTCCTTAAGATGTAAGCTTCATTTCTATACTGTGATATTTCAATATATAAATTCTTAAGAGAATAATTTTTAAATAGAGAAGTGGAAAGGGCCCTTCATCATCTACTTAATGCCTTGTCTTAAGACATAATTTGATATTTTCCATTTTCTATATCTTTAGCTGGGCATATGGAGTTGTGTTGTTTGAGTTGGTGACACTAGGTGGCACTCCTTACCCTACCATTGCCAATAAGGACCTACTGAAGGAGCTTCAAAATGGTTATAGGATGGAAAAACCTGATAACTGTACAGATGAATTGTAAGTAGTTATTTATGGTATGAGCTTTGGTGGAGAAAAGTGTCTTTTTTTAATTAAAAGTCTGCTTTGTGACAGTTACCAGATATCTGGAGGCCAACAGGTATATATATATATATGCCTAAATTAATCTTCACTTTGCCAGATTGTTTTAACAAAATTGACAAAACAAAAACTTTTTAGCCAATAAAACAGTCAAGGAGGTGGTAATGTTATGATCTAGGCTGCCATTGGCCACTAAGATAACCAGGGATAGAGACAACCATTCCTCAGTCAGAACCATAATACTTGGGCTTCATTCACATGCAATGTCTATTTTCTAAATTCTATTTTCTATTCGCGGTATGTCTTATGATCACGGTCTGTGCCCTGAATATCCCGCCGTGTAATTACTGGCAGTGCGAGCCAGTTACTTACGCCGCGGGATGTTAAGGGCACAGACCGTGATCATAAGACATACCGCGATTAGAAAATAGAATTTAGAAAATAGACATTGCATGTGAATGAAGCCCAAGCCCATTATAGTAACTGGCTCGCGCTGCCAGTAATTACGCCGCGGGATGTTAAGGGCACAGACCGTGATCATAAGATAGCGCGAATAGAAAATAAAATTTAGAAAATAGACATTGCATGTGAACGAAGCCTTGGTTATTGGCCAGAATAGTTGGTGGTACACTGTATGAAGTAAAGTCAGTGGTCAGTGGACCAGTTTTGCATATTGCTTTTATAAAACATAATGATAAATGCAGTAAATGATAAGTCAATTATACATATGATCAAAATGATTGTTAATTAATTTTTTCTCACATGTATCTACATGTATTTTTGCATATAATATTGATAATTTGTTGATGAAATTTATTAAAAGTGATTTTTCCATGAGATATTTTCTGTTAAAAATAGATGTGGAATGCTGGTCACATGTACAAATAACTAATTACTAACAAAAATTCTAAGACAACATCCAAATTTGCAGAGCTTTTTTCAGATAAAAAGCAAAACCCAACGTGGAGTCTGCATTTAGTTTGAATATTTCCAGAATTTTCATGTTAATTTCTGAGACTAATCTCCATTCCAATCCATGAAAAAGGGCTGGGACTGTATCAGAAGAACAAGTGAATCATAGGCACTTACTCCACCTTTTCCTCCTTTTAATGCAATAATCTAAGGTGTGACCACTACTCTACCACTACTATTGAGTCACAAGGGCTGAAATCTAACAGTAAATTCTCAGCTATGAGTGGCCTTTAGGGTATGTAAGAATTAAATGAATTAAGGCAGAAGATTGCCAGTGATGGCTTGGAAGGAAAATTTATGGTTTAAAACATTGGATGTTAGTTGCTTTGAAGTTTTTCACCCAAAAACATTTAAAATTGTCTTCTTTTCTGTGCTTGGATCCAGTTTCTGACAAAGAGTGGTCTTTTTTTAACTATCCTTAATAGACTGGCAAATTGTAAAAGAGAAGTGCATTTAAGAAACACTGTAATGTTAACAACTTGTATCCTACTGTGATTTGTTCTAGATGTAATTTGTATGAGCCCTGCAGTTCATAGAGACAACATTATGTCATGTTGTTCAATGTGAATTTCCTGGGGAGCTGATCTAAATCTCCCGTTTACTAAGGTTTTACTCATAGTGCTCAGTTGCTTGTATGAGGTCTGAGGTCAAGAATTTGAAACTGTGAATGCCTTTTAATGAAATTGAATGTTTAAGATACATGCATTTGGTCATTGCTTCTCCAATGTGCATATGCTTTTCATGTAAGCTAATTATTCTGTTCTTTTCTCCCCACTTGTTTCATAGTAAGCCTGGGTAACAAAATCATCTCTTCAGGTTCAACTTTTAAATTTTAGTTTAGGAAAGAAATCAGTATATGAATAGACAAGAGGAAAATGTTTGACATACATGTAATCTGTAACCAGTGGCATTTAGACTGAAGTATTTAGATGTAGGATAACAGAACATCACAAAAAGATTTTGAAAAAATATATATATATGATAGAATTTATTCTCTGCACAATTAGCATATCTTACAATTACACTGTACATGTATATAGTTTCTTTCGTGTCCATTCAACTAAAAAAGACCAAAGCTTTATGCAGATAGTATTAGTTTAGAAACCAGTAACTTTTTTTGTTTTCAAATTCTGAGCCCTACCTCCCCCCAGATCGTGAGGATCAAATTATAAAAATATTCATCACAAGGCATATGGTAGAAATAAAACTGTTTGTATTTATTTTCATAGTTTTTGATTTTATTGTCATAGTACACTTTAGAAACTTTTTATTTTTAACCATTTTATGTCAAAATTTGGTTTAATTTTTTAGGTGTCTTGAGTTATAATCATATTATCTGAATCTCTAGAATTTATCTTATTTATTTGTATGGACTGTTATCAAGTTTTAAAGGATGCCTTAGGTTGTAAAAGGATTAAGGGGCATGAATTGAGTACTGTACATGTAAATTATGGCTTCATCTCCTAGTTAAAAGAAAAAATCGGCCTCAGTTTAATTGTTTTTAAGGTCTAGTAAATAACTCTTAATCGGCTTCAGTAGTTCTTACTTCAGGATTCAGTTTTGATATATTTTTTAATTTTCCTGGCTGTTCTAGGCGAACCCAGATCTCTGCCACAGAAATGAATGTAAGGGTCATTGAGTAAATTAGCTGGCCAGTGAGCAAGTAAACAGATATGCTGATCTTTGGAAAGTGGAAAACAAAGTTATTTTAATATCCTGTCTTTATGTTTAAATTTAATTTTGGCTGCACAGTTCTTTTTGATGTTTCCTTTTCCAACATTGGTTATAAAATCTAATCAAAATACCTATTTTTTCTTTTCTTTTCTTTTCTTTATTTCATTTTTTTCATAAGAATGTAGAAAGGTGCATTTTTCTTAAAGATGAACTTGTTGAAAAGTAGATCATTTAGGAATATATCAAAGTGTGAAATGAATTCTGTGATTATTATTTTGTATTTTAAACTTTTCCACTGTGCCCTTTTATAGAATTGCTAGATCTTAGTGGTATTATAAAGGCCATGTGGTTGATATTAAGTCTAGTCCTAATGACAGGTAAATTACCAGCTCTTTTTAAAAGACAGCCAATTTAAAAATGTTCAGACTTCTTGCTAAGTTGAGTTGGCATTTCAAATCAGGAATTGGCAGTCCACAATCTAGGAGCTCATTCTGGTTTGAGGATTTCCAGATCTAGAAATTTCAAGGCTTCAAGTGACTACACATCTCTGAAGTGAATAGTTTTGTGGTGAGAAAAAATCCTAATGGGTGTTTCAATTGGTTTTGTATTGAAAAAGTTTTAAGTGGCATTACAAGCCATCTTTTATTGCTCTTTATGTTTGGTATTGGTGAAAGCTTTTAAGCCAAGGGTGGGGTACTACCATTTAAGATGCAGATATTTGCCCATTATACTAAAATAAACAAGATAGACTTACAAGATTAAAGAAAACATGAAATGGATGAAGTGTGCTTGTGTTTTGGTCCTTTTATCACACTCCTTCTAATGTGACAATTTGAACCTTTAATTTATCTCTTGAAAGCTTAGTTAACTCAAGATCAGTAAGATATTTAGAAAACATGATATAGGTTGCTGTTCTATATTTCCAGATATAATTTCTTCAATGGGATCACCTTTAAGATCTGATTAAAACTAACTTTAAGTTTTAATGCCTATATGGCAGAGAGTTTTGAAGAAAACATTCTGTAGTAACAGTAGTTACCCAGGCATATAAATAATTGGCTTTAAGAAGTAGGGTTAAAATATTGGTGCAATATTCCCCATTGAAATAGTTTTTGATATGAAAATATTTTCAGAGCTTTTCTTTAAAGGTTAACAGTCTTCTCATTCATTAAAAATTGTATCAAAAATAGTTTTGTGATGTCAATAATCACAAAATTGTTTTTGTAATTTTAGACAAAAATGCCTGTTGTGCCATCTTATTTTTTGTAACTAAAAGCCATAATGTAGATTAAGTTTTTTTTCTGCTGAAATAGAGTTAGTAAGAATCTCAATTTTTTGTTTGTTTTTTTACCTATTTTCTTTATTCCCTTTTTTAATGTAGAAAGGAAGCATCAGTTCCTGTAGAAAAAAAGATTTCTTCTAGAAAATGTTTTCATAAATTACTTGATGGGAAGTTCTCTGGGAAACTGCAGTGGATTTTACTGTAAATCCAAACCTGATAACAGTGATGTTTCTGTGCCACATTGTTGTATTGCCCTGTAGTGACGCACGGTGTGGACATTAAACAGCAGTGAAGAAGGAGATAGTGAAAAAAGAAACATTTCTGTTATTAACTTCCTTGTGGCAGTGTGGTACACTGGCTGTTATCTCAAAAGGAATTGAATAAGTCCAAGATATGAGCTGAGATTATTTGGTTTATCTGCAAACCAAAGTTGCATTTACAATGGAAGAAAGAGAGCTTCAAAGATGGAGAAAATAATGTGTGTAATTGTGTTTTGATTTATGAAACTAACTAGGTATTGCTATCTTTCTTTTGTGTATTATTTATTGTAGGACCTGCTGTTAGTTAGCCATTTTCTTGTCTGTTTTAGTAACTGGATTATATTCTTGTTGATAACTAACTTATCACCAAGATCTTACTTTTATGACTGAATAGTTGCTTCAAAGTTTTTTAAATCTGATTATTTAGGAAATGTTTTAAGCTTTTAACATGAATGTTTTTTCGACTATTACGAAAATTCTTTTGATGTAAATGGATATTCTTATCCATCATTTCTTCTTCTTGAAAATCTATGAGGAATTCATTTGTATCAATAGAATATTGTTTTTCGATATGGTCTTTTGGTAAATGTCTAATTTAATACTATGAAATGTTATGCTTCTAACATATATTTGTGTTTGAGCTTCTGAGTAAAATAAAAAATTATATTTAAAAAAAATAGATTTTTGAAAGCTACTCACACTGTTTTTTTTTTTTTTTTTTTGAAAAACAATCAGTTTTGTTGAAAAACAAAAAGTTATGTTCAGTATAT